TATCTTACAAACCCCTGCATGTGCCTTTCCACTGTGAATGGATTTTAAAAAATGTTTTAGACCAAAAGCTTATCTCAAATCTATTGTACAACAATGTCTCAGGCATCCAGAACAAATTTGTAACCATTTCATTTTATAACATTCTGTGACAGAGGCATTAACTCTTCAGACAACTGATTCTCACCTGATCACCACCACTGGGAACAACCCTGACAATCCTGAATCTATAAGTTTCCCTAGAATGAACTGTTTCACATGAACCACTCTGAATGATATTGTTTATTATTGCAGAAATTCAATGAAAAATCAGTGGAAGTCACCTTTAACTCCCCACTTTCTCCTCCTTCTGCAGGTGTGACCAGCCCTGCCCTAAGGGGACTTTTGGAGATGGTTGTCGTTTCCAGTGCAGCCCCTGCTATCATGGTCACTGTGATCAGGTGACAGGAAGTTGTATTTGCCAGCCTGGCTTCCTGGGTGAGAGGTAAGGCAGCTGAGAGTGTAACTGCTTGCACACTGTATGGGGTTTTAATGAGACTATAACTGTTGTTATTGCTATGTAACAGTTGCAACAGTTCGTGTCCAGAGCGTCTGTACGGAATAAACTGCTCTTTGTCCTGTGACTGTGGATTTGACAAGTGCCATCCTGCAACTGGGGCATGTCCTTACAGTATGTGCCTCTTATCATTTCAACCTATTGTGTTATCAAAGTGAAAATATACACAATACATGTGTGAATTTGTACATGTGTCTCCCAGGCAGTCGAGCAGGGCTTCTTGCAGGGCTTCTGGTTCCTCTGCTGCTTCTTGTCCTTGCATTATTGTTTTGCTGCTGCTGTTGTGGAAGTCCAGCTGATGGAAAAGATAGGTAAGATTTTTAAACTGAATCAATACAGTATACTGTTCTGCATATATTTAGCATCACTCTGCCAGTGTTTTAGAGCAGCATATGATCCCAGTTTATTCTGCCTAAACCACAGAGTGGCAGTAGGGGACGGCAGCACGACGGGCCGCATGAAGCATCATGTCTACACAGTGCTTGCCAACATGAGTGCAGCCATGCCATGCCTCACTCTCTGGTCCTCTGGACTTCCAAGAGTTACAGGTCAGATGCTCTTAATAAAAGCCACATTTTGAGCCACCATATATGTTACATATGCATTTTTATTTTTTGTGCATTTTGTGGTTAACACCACACTGTGCATTAATGCCTATGATATACGCTGTCCATCTACATTTTGGGGTCATTTCACCTTGTGAAATTAGCATTTTCTCACGGTTGCTTTTTTAATGAAGTAAGTAAGTCGTTGGTTTTAAGATTGAAGAGATGGAAGAATTAAAGTTTCAGTAGGGGGCACAAAAGTAAAGACAAGTGGACAAATTAAATACTGATAGACTTGATATTACACTTAGTGCTGGAGACTTTTGTGTTGCTATATATTTCCTGCTTTCTCCGATATTGAAAAATAAATAAAACTTCAACTTAATAGCTGTTATGACTGGAAATTAAATAAACAAAAGGGTGATCTTTCACTTTTATGCAGTACTAAATTGTTTTTTTTTTAAATAGTATTCTTTAATTTGTTAAACTGCAAACTGACAAAGATTTGCTTCACACAATACTTTGACTGGCCATTAATGTTCTCTGTTGTGCCTCCAGTGTCTCATCATGATCCAGAGCTCACCTTTAACCACAGTTTTATCGAGCCACCCTCCTCAGGCTGGGTTACTGACTCCTTTGAGACTGATGAGGAAGGAGAGGCGCTGTACTGTATCCCGCCCAGAGAAGGTACAGGATCCATGCTCACACAATGTGTTCTCTCTTGTGCTTGTCAGTAAATGATTTTTCCCAAGCGTTGTCAGTTAGCTTACAAATTCTTATTGTCTTTCGTTTGTAATCATCAGTAATTGCTAACAAAGTAATATTGCGTAGATGCATCACAATGCATTGATCTAAAGGTGGTGATTCAGCTGCATTGATTTTGCAATGTTAAAATCAATTAGAATCGATTATAATATTCTTGTATATTATATTATAGTATTATAGTATATTATAGTATATAGTATATAGTATATTATATATTCTTGTTGTATTATTTTTATTGTCTTTTATTATCTACTTTGTAAAGAATTGGGCTGGGACAATAAGCAATTTTGACAAAATGGAGCAAAATTATCAATACGTATTAGAATTTTCATTATTTATAACAACTGTACAGTAAGTTTACAGTATTGGTATTTCACATTAACACATTTGAGTATCTAAAACAGTTTCCATTTGCACCTTTTCACACCAAGTTTTACAGACTAAATACATAAATAAATAAAGCATGTAAAAAGAATGATGTGCTCATTCTCAGATGTTCTTTCAGGTTTGTGCTCATGGTTGTTCCTCTGATTTTTTCACTTCTTTTAATGCATGTGAGTCAGTGATTAACATTTTTAGCAGAATGGGTTGTTACACAGTGTCTGTGTCTTTGAGTCACATTAAGTGTGTGCAAATTAGATAAAAGCAGGGTACACATAATATATATACAGGATTGCTTATGCATACAAAATGTAAAGAAAAATAAGATAAATTCCACATGTTGATAGCATGGCTGTTATGTGTAGTTATCGGTAAATAATTTGTCCAGTCACATTTTTATATGAACAATCATAAAGATGAAGATGTACACCCCTAGTAATTGCCCAAATCCAGTGAAAGCTTTGCTTCTCTGCTCTTTTCAGACATCCCAGCTGTAGCGGGAGGTGAGTTCCAGGAGCTGAGCTCTAAGTGTAACGTCTTCCCTGATCCGTCTGCGTTCAGCAGTGAGGACATGTCTCTGGCTTTCGGCATCCCCCGTACCTCCAGCATCGCCAAGTCCAAACGGCCCTCCGTCTCCTTTGCTGAGGGCACGAAGTTCAGCTCTAAAGAGCGCCGTGGCTCGGCACAAGAGCTGCCAACTAATGCCCGCAAGTCTAAAGCCCCCTGGGGGGTCCTTATGCTCTCTGCATTGCAGCAGGGGAACCATGGGCAAGTGGAAGGAGAGAAGGAGGAATGTACTGATGAGGCTAATGCCTCCACTGAGGACCAAGAGGCTAATTCAGCACCTGAGACTTCTCAGGCAGACTCAGAGAGGTGCAGCTCTGCACCCTCAAAAACTTATCTCACCGTCCCAGGCAGTCGGCGACGCACACTGTCCAACACCAGGAAAAACCTTCAGCCGCAGGCCTCCTCTGATGGCCAGGCAGATATGGAGAAAGTAACCACTGTCTACATGACTGTGGGCAAACCTATTCAAGTAGCAAAGCCTGAGAGCAGCTCTGAAGGGCCAGTGCAGGCCATGCTACGCAGACTGGGCAGCATTCAAAGACAGAAAGAGGAAGCAAACCGGCCCAAAGGAAAAGGGCCTGCCATGACAAAACCCCCACGCAGGAAACTGGGGGCACGGGCCAGTGTCTGGGAGCAAGCTGGTGGGCCAGGCCCATCTGAAGTAGTCATAAGAAAGCCTAGTCGCAAGAAACAAATCTTGGCCGGGGCAACAGATTCTCCACATGAGAACAGCACCCCCAAGAGGCCCCTGTCCTCCACACTGAACAGTGTTCCTGAAAGCCCTGTGCAAGGGTCGGTAGAGGGCACTGACCCAAGCACAAATTCTGAAACCAACACACAGTCAGATGCAGGCTACGAGACAGTGGCTCCATCTGATGAGGCTTCCACAGTATCAGAGGTCATTGTTAATGAGACTCTGGCAGCACAAGATGAAGGGCCCAGTTATGAGAATGTTTATATAAAACCTTCATGAGGTCAGATTTATTCAGTCCACTTTAGTAAAACTGATATTGAAAATAAATAAATAACAAGATAAATTTGAGTTAGAATAAGCTCCCACACTGGCAGTTCATTTAAACTGTTCATGTAAATAGAAGAATAAGGAACTTTTAGAGATTATCAGACGGTTGCTGAGTTTTTTATATAAATGTACTGCATTTTGCCACTTTATTTGTTAGGTATCCTAAATACTCCTTTCTTCTTGTGTATTTTAAACTTTTGTATATATATTTTTTACATTTCCAGACTGCTCTTGTTTTCATAGGCAATTTATGTGGCGCTAAAGAAGGACTTCACCAAAAATGTAAACAGCTCACATAAAGCAGGATACTCAAAGTCTTGTTAAATTCACTAAAAGCTGAATTACAGATTATTAATGTTTAATGAGTGAAGCAGATCCAACTCAAAATGGACTCATGTTTATTTTTAGCTTGGGAATCTAAAGGTTTTGTGATGTCTGATGTTAATAGCCCTGTTTGATGCTATGTGGGTACACAAAACACAGATAAATGGATAAAACCTTCTTCAACATTGTTCAAAATCTTTTAAGAAAACTTCCAAAATACATTTTTAAACAGCTTCTCTACTTGTTCCTTGCCTAAATGAGTCCATAAATAAAACAATAGAGCTGTAAATAAGCCTTTCCCCTAAAGGCATGTCCCAACTGTTTAATCTAATGCCTTATCTTTCTTCTGTCTTCATTTACTTTTGAACAAATTAGTCCATGCGCATCTGATGTAAACACATCTGTTTTACCTTTTGTTACAGTGATATTTAAGGCATGACTGACCTTTCAAAACTAGACTGAAAAACAAGACTAACTTGCTTTCAGTGACTGACTTGAATATATTTTAATCTGTGTCTTGGGAGATTCCTATATTACTTAATTCTAAATTTAGACTCTGACAGTAGTGCATGCTCAGCTTAATTTATTGGAGGAATAAAACAGAGCATGCACTACAGTACTTCCAATAGTGTACTTATTTATTTGTACAACAGTAACTGTAAAAAAGGAATTGTACAAGAAAGTGGTGTTTTTGCTGTGTTATCTGGCACTGAGTTGGAGATTAAGGTGTGCGATTAAGTTTCTTACTGAACTGAAGGTACAAGCCAAAAGCTTGTCTCCCTCCGGCAACCACCCTTTATCATGTTCAAGGCCAAGAAGTTGGAAAGTACATTAAAGGCAGTAGTATTGCTGCATGTTTTATTGTTCTGTGATCAGAAAGACACATTAATAGACACTAACAGACAAGTAGTATTTATTTTTGCATGCTTGCAATTTGTCACAAAAATGATACATGTTGCCTTGTAACTTGCTCACCATTTTGGTAAATATGTGGTAATTCTGTAGCATATCATGTTCCTTATCTGAATCTAAATCATTTTCCACTCAGGGAAAGGTGAGGCAGGAAGTAATTATTTGCCAGTAAAAGTTACCTTAAAGATATAAATATATAACCTTTATGAGGCCAAAGAATGGTTTCAAAAACAAATGAGGATCTGGAATGATCATTCATGACTACTAATAGCAAAACATAGTCCCAAATGGGCAAAAGTATTCACAGGAGTTGCAATCAATTAGTATAGATTACAGAGTGAACTTCACCCCATGCCTATGAGTTGTCCTGTTTGCACCAGCCAAATCTAGGACATTTGTGACTAGAAGTAAGAATAGGCAGGGCCTGATTTCCTGGATCGGATGTTGGAGTTCAGACATGTGACTGATTTGCGTCTGTGCTTTGTGACTAAAGTCACACAATCTCAACCAAAGCTGTCCGGTAAAAAGGTTTGCTTTCAGTTTTACTGAATTTCTTTCAAAGAAGGACTCTAAAAATGCCAAGTATATTAGTTAAAGGGATGGTACAGTTTGTAGTTGTGCAGTGTGGTACAGTTTTCCACATACCCCATCAGCCTAGACATGTTCCGTGTCCTCTATGTGATTCTTTTGAAATTTAGCTACAGCGCTAACGTAAGGCTAACGTAAGGCTAACATTGTGCAAACTGCATGCCTAAATGATCACACATTCACCTTAAAAGACGTTATTTAAGTAAGAAGTTCATATTAAAAATTGGATACCCAAATCAGTCTGAAACAATTTCATGATCTGAATCACTTCTAACTTATCATACAATACTGTACAAATCCCCTTAACTTAGATATATGGGCCACATAGGCCTTGTAGATCCAGCGCAAAACTAAAAAAGCAAACTTTGGACACCAAACATGGCAGCTGAGGTAAGGAGAAAATTGTTTAAATGTGATATTTGTCAAGAACATCATTTTAAATTGGGAGTTGGAAATCTACTGGTCATTCAGATTGAACAGACTGTATGAGCTATTATGTAGTGCATACTATGCTGCTTTATGGTTGCCTTTCATGAAACTTTTCTCGTTTATTCCTCTCTGCTACTAACTACAAGTACTACTATAGTCTAGAGTTTTACACACGGACTCATCTTTTCTCTGCTCCTGGTTTGTCTTGGCAGCCCAGCCAGTATTTGCCTATAGATCTTGGGTATGGTGGAATGACGCGGTCAACTCGCTTAGTCTTCAAATCTACCCTGTAGTACTGATCTGCAAATAAAGAAAAAGGACAAACAGTGATGTTGTATGTAATTTTCACAGTGAAAAGAAAGTCAAATACTTGATAAAGGAGATAATCTAGTATTCAGGATCCAGTACCTCCTTTAAAAAAGTAGACACTCTGTAAAGGTTGCCTCCTACGCAATATGTCAAAGACCACATCTGTGGAGGGGCTGTATCTGTAGTCATAATCGTAGTCATACTGCCGTCGATAGCCATTCCGTCGCCTGTCTTGGTCTCTCCAGCGCTCCTGTCCAAACCTCTGAGCAAACTCCTGCCCAATGCTGATACCCCTCTCTGCTACAGTGTCCCAGTATGGAGATCGGTTCTGCCTGCGTCTGGAGCCCCACTGCTGGTCCCATTGTTGATCCCATTGTTGGCCCCCTTGTTGACCCCACTGCTGGCTCCACTGCTGACCCCACTGCTGGTCATCATCCTGGCGCCTCCTACTGGGGCGTTGTAAATGTCTAGGAGATACATATAGCCTTCCAGCCAGCACAGCATCCACTGGGGATTTGATACCAATCCAGTCCTTATCAATGAAATGATGGCTGCTATGATGACTTGGAACTGTAAAAAAGCAAGTACAAAGTATTAGGATTTGTTACTGAAGCTTTATCTGCTGTTTTATACGCATTTGTCAATGATGGTGATATTCATGCACAAATTAGCCGTCATTTTGCAATATATATATATATATTTTGCCCCTGGTGGAAGGGAGGCTGCATTGCCATAATGGTATAAAGAGAAGACACCAAGAGTTGCACTCAATGACCTGACAAAACCTATGGATGAAATATTGTTGTCTTCTTTTTATTAAATACAGGAAATACATCATGAGGACTGTGACACAGTGATGCAGTTTTGTGCCCTTACATCCACTGAAGAGTTGGCTGAAGTGCTCTGCCCAGCGGTCATAGTATAGGTCTGTGTATCGGCTGAAGAGAGCAGAGGGGGAACTCCTGTACAGCTGAATGCATTCCTCATGGGACGGCTGGTGTTTAAACTCATACTGATAATACCGGTCACCTTGTGGGTGATGTTTCAACAGAGCAGAGCAAAATGGAATAGTCATTATAATGAATTTGGGAAGTAGATACTTGAAAAAATGCATCATTAGATGCATCATTATCACAAAACGTATATTTTCATGATAAGGTCTAACCTTTAAAAAAGTAAACCTTCTCTTTGCCATGGTGGCTGTGAGCAGGGATGGCAAAGGCAGCATCCAAGTGATCTGGTATTTTTTCAAACCCCACAGAGATATCCCTCGGAAAATCTTCATCCAGGACTCCATTGTCGAACCTCCAGTACTTGTCACCCTGGGAAGTAATATGTATTTTTCTGTTGCTACAGATCAGTATATCACTTGTTTTATTATCTATACTGAAATATTTTAAAAATGCTGATTCTATGACTAAGCTGACACCTTGAAGATGTATGTCTTTCCTTGGCAGTTTATGCGTGTGAACGCTGCATCTATAGGACCTTTGATTCCCCAAATGTCTTCAATGAGCTTTGGGTAACCTGGCAACACTGACTTTTCATCCAGCTCAAAGAAATACTTTCCTGTTGACACAAAATCCATAAAACATTCAAAGTCACTCACATGCTTGTATATGAAATGAAAGCTGAATTCTCTCTTAACAATAAAGGTTCCTAAATGGTTCTTGGCTTATAAGATTGATATAGAACCTTTGCACAATGGAGAGATTCCCTAAACAAAAAGGTTCTTTCATCAGAAAGACATTATTAAAACAAAACAAAACAAAACAAAACAAAAAGCATAGTTCAACTGAAGGAGCTCTAAAACAGGTGGAAAGAATTCTTGGAGCTCTAAAACAGGTGGAAAGAATTCTTTAGAGAACCAAAAGTGATTCTTCTACGGCTTTGCTGCTTATTTTTAAGAGTGTACAACAACAGCAGCAACAACAACTGCAGTACTATAAAAAAGAAAGTGCTGCGTTCGACTCACCCCTGAAGGCATAGATTAAGCCATTTTTGAGCTGCATGAAAGAATCAAATGGTCTTCCACTGCACACCTCAGCATCAGGGTCAGGGGTTGGTATGACTGTAGCGGACAGAGTGAGTTTTTGAGTAGGAGAAGGACGTAGAGGCACTGGACTCCTGCTCTCAGTGCTGAGTGTAGGTGTCACTGCTGTGCTGTTCTCCTCGTCCTCAGGAAAAGCTGGGAAGGTGTCTCCACGAGCTATGGGCGCACAGAAATAACAGTTCCCCAGGCACTCACTCCATACAGTCATCTTGATTACTTTACCTTTCTTTCATCCACTAAACTGAGGTAATAGGCTATTCATTAAGACAGAGACTTGTGCTTATGAGCTATTCCCTTATAGCTCATAAACACAAAAATAAAAAAGGCTTAGGTACCTTGTGACTGCAGAAAGATGAGAAAATTCAATAATTATTCAACTCTTACCTCTAATGCGGCAGACAGACTCATAATCACTGCAGCAGCTCTGGTAGTATGTGCACATAGAGTCACACTGGCACCTTTTTGTTGCATTAAAGCCATTCTCACACCGCTCAATACAAGACTCTAGCAAACAGAAGACATACCAAGAGTGAACATTAATAATAATGTAATAACACAAATAAGCCCATATTAGCATCGTGAACTTTTTTAGCCATTAATCAAGACTTATCCGGTATTACTCAATTACTAAATTAAATTGTTTGGTAAATAGAATACACCTAAGTTATGTACATGCATTTAAGTCATGATCACTTACAACTTGGTGGAAGACCATTTTCTTAGCTCCTAAACTGAGACTATTAATTTATCATAATAATATTTCATAGCTGTCAAAAATAAAGACATGCATGTCTAAATTAGCAACTTTACAGCAGATGTCAACAACATTCTTAAGTTTTAATGTAAGTTAATGTGAAGAGACTTTAGTCCAAGTAAATGTAAAGAGACATTAGTCCAAGCCCATTTTTGAGCATTTCTATTGGACCAATCATCATGAAGTGTTCACACAGTGTAAAGAACAGCTGCTCTGCTCAGTTGATATAAAAAATAAAAAATAGAAAAAAATGGAGACACTTTTTTTTGGACACCAACGATATGCAAGATCTATAGATGTTTTAAATCTAGGTTGAAAGTATATTAGTTTAGCCTAGCAAATTTTCTTGGTTTATACTTTTATTTTCATTTAGAACTACATTTATTATGCAGTTATAAAAGTAAGCAATTGAAGAATGGGTCTACATACAGGACCTACAATATTAAGGGCTTTTAAACAAGTCACAACAAACCAAAATTGGAACAGGCATTTGGAGCTTTCAGTTCACTGCCAAACCAGTGTTTAAATAAGGACAACCTACTTTGCTCATGCACCACATAGACCAAGACTGGAAACATGGTTATATGTCTGACCACATAAAGAAAAACAGCCATTTTGTGAAGGTCCTTACCCTCTGCAGCCCGGCCAGTGGCTAGCAGTGCTAGCAGCAGGACAAGCTCCGGCGTCATGTCTGTGAGAGAGAGTTGAAGGGAGCTCTGAGGAACTGCTGGGCGATTAGGCCTGCTGAACAGTGGACTCTGATGTCACTCACCCTGTCTTGTTTACTTGAACTTGTTTGCAACATTTTCTCTCGTTCAACAGAAGTAATCATTAAACTGAGATAGACAGACACATAGAATTCAACAACAACTCCACTTTTTTCATTTGCAGACTACATTGTGAAGTTCATCATATTAAAAATATAGTCTGAATTGCAGAAACAGGCTATTTCATTAGGCCTGTTATTATGAAATTCTAAGAAGTGTGAAATTGGTATTTTATTTGTTTGTACCACATAATGGAGGAGAACTGATGGCACACAGAAAAAATGCCTCCAGGCCAAATGAAAATTCAGCCGTAATGAGCTCACTGCTAACTGATTAGCCAGCTATCACACTTTTGGCTGTATTAATGGAGGCCTGTCAGTTCTTTTACACTGATGTAGTGCCAAATGTAGTGTGCAGAGGTGGGTACAGTAGACTAAACTCATATTAAAGAAAAGTAGTGTGATATGTGCAACATAATGACTCAAGTAAAGATACTTTTGCAAAAACAACCTGATTAAAAGTTCAAAAGTAGCAGTTTAAAAAACTACCAAAGTTCTGAGTATCTTACAGAACAACAGTGAAACTTGGGAATACATCCAGCATCTATCAGTATAGGAACTGAAGTTTGTTAGGCTTTATTCTTCTCTTTCTGGAATCATTTTGGTCTAAAATAAAATGATAAATCTCTGAAATCAGAGGTCTGACCAACTGCAAAGCAGTACAGATGCTGTCAGCAATGTAACACAAATGGAAGTAAACACAAAAAAGGAATTAGTACTCCTCACTCAGCATGTTAGCAGAATAAAAAACAAATGAAAGGCATTTCTTTGCTTTAGAAAGCAAAGAATTTTTGGCCTACACAACAAACAGTTTGTGTGGCTGCCACAAATGTTCCTATGGGTAATGTATGGGATAAAAGAAACTATAAAATTTTAATTTTCACTGTTTTATACAAGTTCACTGTAGACATTAAAAATGACTGCAAAAATCACTGGATTGTATTGAAATGCATCTCTCTTCAGTTAATAGAAAGCTGACAAAATTGCTGAGACTGTGCTAGAAAGTGAAACTGAGACATACGCGTTGGTGGACTGATACTGAAATATTGATACATATGATACTTTTTGAGAAACAATCCTATCATCAAAGCATTAATATCAAATGCTCTTTTATCATTAACTCTGATAACTATTTCCTATTAATGGATGGTGTTTTTGATGATAAAGTGGAGAACAATGATTTTGACCAATAACTGTTGGATGGAATTACATTCCCGTCTGCTGTCTTTTTAAAAAAGAAATAAAGTGACACATCTTTTGGAATTCTGTTATTTTATTACGGTATATTGTTGCTGTCATTTCAAAGTCTCAACAGACAATGGAAATCCAAAAAGACCACATAACCTGTAGTTACATGAAGTCAAGAATATTTCCCCATCTGCTTTAAACTTCCTGTATTGTTTTCAATACAAACTGCAATATGTATATTTTTAAGTCCTAATATGGTTAATAAAGCTAAAAAAAAGATCACAATTTTCAGTGTTCCTCTTTCATGGGCACAAACCTCTTTCAAAAGTATCTGTATTACTGCTGGCATGTGTATCAGATCGAGAGGCCAGTCAGCAGTGTCGCCCATTACTTAAACAGCGAGTTGCTGAGCTGCTTTATCGCCACGTGTCCACTAGAGGGCGACTCCACTTTACAGCTTCACTGCTGCTGTTGTCTGTGTGCAGCCTGTCGCTGAGGATGCTCGGAGGATGCAGAGAGGGAAGCAGCAGAGGAAACAAAGCAGAGCCTTGACTTTATTTTGAACAAGAAACCTGACACTTACCGAGAAATAAAGGAGAGCTAAGGCGGACTTTCTCCAAACGGCGACAAAGAGCTGCTTTGTGGCTGGAAGGCAGACAGTAGGAGGAAAACAGCGGTCTTTGTTCGCATAAACATAAACACGGTCCGTTAGAGGCAGCCTGCTGTAGGTTGTTTTAGATTAACTCGTGCTATGCTAGGTTTTGTGTGTCATTCTGTTGGATTATAGGCCAACTATAGCTGCATTTTTTTAAATGAGCTTTTGTTAACTTGGTTATTCCACATACAGTCGAACTCCACAGGCCTCTGAGGAGGAATCAGTGGGAGTCTTCGAGCGGCTCCAGCCTGCTAAAATTAGCCTAGCCAAGGTCCTGAAGTAAGTAAGTGGTCATTCGTTTGTTTTCCGTCAGTGATTTAACCGGGTGATGCAAGATGGAGAAAGCCACTGTCACTGCTGAATAACACTGCTCTGCTGTCAACCTGCCGCCCCCATCACCCAGGAACACACAGGTTTTAACCACACACCACATCAGAGGTTGCCCTTCATTTGCAGCTGAACGCAAACAGCACAGCTACTGATTCTCACCCAGCTGCCCACTTTTGTTTCTCTGATGAGAAGCGTTTGGTAGATGTTCTTGTTTTTCGTCGTTTGTTTCAGTAAAGTCTGCCGACTCTTCTCCATGTTCAGCTCAGAGAGACTCACTGTCCCCGACTATGTCAGCCGGCTGCAACCCCGCAGGGCGGGCTCCGAGCCCAAGGCTGTTTCTCCAGGTGTCCAGGCCGAGGTCCAGGGTGTCCTGGACGACTCTCTGCCGGCCCTGCGGGCTGCAATGAGAACCCTGAGGTCTGCCAAAGATACAGGGGAGCTGGGGGAGACCCGCAGAGCCATTGCTGAAACTTTTCAGCTCGTGGAAGAGGCCTGGGTTTTGCCCACAGTTGGGCGACAAGTAGCAGAAGAAATCTGCAACAGAATACGGCTGGATGGAGGGCTGGAGCTGCTCTTGCAGCTGCTGCAGACGCCTGCTGTGGAAATCAAATACGAGTCAGCCAAGCTGCTCGAGCAGATACTCATATCAGAAAACAGGTAGGCCACAGGTTCACCTCTTTGGATTTAAGAAAGTGATGCGATGAATTCACTTGATTCAAATGTGGGCATCATTTCCAGATTAATAAAATAAACGATACATGTCAAAATGTTTATTGGCACCTGCTCATCTCCTGACATCAAGGCTATTAATAGGGGTTTGCTGCAGTAACAAACACTACTTTTCTGGGAGACTACACTGCATGTTGGAACATTACTGAGATGATTTGATTGCATTCAGCCACAAGACCTTTAGTGAGGTCATTTACTTATGTTGGATGCTGGGTCATAGATGCCAGTGCACGGATGCTGAGACACAGATGCCAATCATCCCAAAGGTATTCATTGGTGCTCCATTTCTCCTGAAAACACAGTACAACTGCTTAATACCCATCTAGACAGTGCTTGGCATTGGGCATGGTGACCTTAGATCCATGTTCGGCTGCTCCAGAGAGGCCCTTTTAATTGGGAGTACTTTTCAGTGGAGATTATAAAATGGTGAATGACACATTTTGGAACTTGAACAATGTTTACATATTACTTCAAGCTTCTTTATTACAAAAATGCAAGGGAAATTCAGTTTCGCCATGATGTGGACAATTTAAAATGGCTGAATTCTCTAATTAGAAGGGGTATCTGGATACGTTTGGACAAGGCATATATTTTATTAATGTGGAAATTATGTGCTCTTTACAATCAAGAAAATGCAGTGCTTTGATATTTTCAGGGCATGTGCTGTTTTGCTGATACACCGTACGTGTTGTTATATGGAAGATGTACTGGCTGTGTATTTAATGCTGTCAAACTGAGAATTTCACATTTCCACTTTTGTAGAGACTATGTGGCACGTATGGGCCTTGGGGTGATCCTGAACCTGACCCGTGAGCTGGAGGATGCCCAGCTGGCACGTAGCATTTCGGGCATCCTGGAACACATGTTCAAACACACGGAGGAGACTTCCACCCAACTTATCAGCAATGGAGCACTGGACGCCCTGCTGTTCTGGTGCCGGGGCACGGACCCCACCGTCCTGCGCCACTGCGCCGTGGCATTGGCCAACTGTGCCATGTATGGTGGCCATTGCTGTCAGCGGCTGATGATCGAGAAGCAGGCAGCCGAGTGGCTCTTCCCACTGGCCTTCTCCAAAGAGGACGAGCTGATCCGCTTCTGTGCCTGTCTGGCCGTGGCTGTGCTGGCCGCTAACAGGGAGGTGGAAAAAGAAGTGGTGAAGTCTGGCACGCTGGAGCTGGTCGAACCCTTCATCGCCTCACTCGACCCTGATGAATTTGCACGCAGCCTGCAGGACAGTGCGGACAGCGTGCAGGGTCGAACCGCTGCTGACCTGCAGCACCTCCTGCCCCTGCTAGACGGTACAAGACTGGAGGGGAATTGCATCGCTGCTTTCTACCTCTGTGTGGAAACCAGCATCAAATCACGTCAGCGTAACACCAAGGTGAGACCGAGTTCGTAGTTGAGGACGTACGGTAATCATGAACATGTACATTAATGCTACAGAACAAGGGTGAGGAAGCAAATGACATGAAGCTTGAAGGCATTTTCACAATATATATTATACATCACAATATTTACTTTTTTAGATGTTTGCAAATGAGTTAGAATAGATAAAATACACCAGCAAAATAGCAGCACCATTAAAAAAAGCTGTGAAAAACTATCAATCAATCATTTTGTAATTCACTGCAAGAAAGAAGGAGCAAGAGGGAAGAAAGGGTTAAAAAAATGGTCAAAATAAATTCATCCACACAGCAAAAAGAAACCAAATTGTCTTGCAAAAGGGCCAATTAACCTGAGCTGAGATGTCAAAATGTATTAGCCAAATGTGCGAAGAATTACAATGGAAATCAAACAAATTCAAGAGCAAACAAATTCACACCTGGTCACAGTCTCAGTGATGTGACATATCAGAAGTGTCTAAAGCCTCATTATAAGCCAGAATAGAGTGTAATATTTAAGAAAGAACTGGAGGAAATAAATAAAACAATTAGTAAAAATAACAGAATAAAACAAAATAATGCCATAATGTGTACTGTTTCATACTATGCACTTTTAGAAATACTTACAATATTCATGGTATACCATGATATGCTCAGAAAAATGTATTATCATATAAGTCATATATTACAACATAACATCATTATATTGCCCACTCATACCACTAAGATAACCATTTTTAAAGACTATGTTATACATATATAAATTATTTTTTGCTCTAAAATAGTTACATTGGTAAAAACGTTTGTGTCTTTTTCCCCAGATATTCCAGGAGATTGGGGCTGTGCAGAGTCTAAAGAGAATTGTCATGTACTCAAGTAATGCTACCACACTCTCTCTGGCGAAGAGGGCCCTGACCATGATGGGTGAGGATGTTCCACGCCGCATACTGTCCTCTGTGCCCAACTGGAAAACTGGGGAGGTGCAGAGGTGGCTGCAGCAGATTGGCTTCAGTGCCTTTTGTGATCGGTTCCAGGTTTGTGAATGGTAGCTTGGGTTTACTGTTCAGTGTAGATGGGTGCAGAATATGCACTTAGGATAAGCACCTGCTACATCTACTAATAATAATTGCAATGGCATTCTTTGATTAGATTATGTAAATCTGTCCTGGGATAAATAGTATCGAAACCTGGCAATACGATAAGGTTTTGGTCATTTCCATTATGGCACATTTTGCAATGCAACAGTGCTTTTACTCCAGATGACTGTAAATGTTTTTGCACATGTTTCTGTCAGGAGCTGCAGGTGGATGGAGACCTTCTACTCAACATCTCAGAAGAAGATCTGATTCATGACCTGGGCATGACCTCCGGGCTCACCCGCAAAAGGTTGGTGTTATGCAGTCACCTCAACCGAAAGTAATGTTCCAGTTTGGAATACAGGCCAGTTTTCATGCTAACATGAATTGTTCATTGATATGTCCCTATAGGTTGGTTTTCTGTTGTCTATTAAAATAAATATTTCTGGCTGATTTTTATGTCATATCTAATGCAATGTCCTCTGTTCTGTTTATTCTTTTTACTATGGGGAATCCAGGTTTCTGCGAGACCTGCGGGTGCTGAAGACCTATGCCAATTACTCCATGTGTGACCCCAATAACCTAGCTGATTGGCTGGCAGATATCGACCCCCGTTTCCGTCAGTATACTTATGGCATGGTGCAGTCTGGTGTGGACCGCAACAACATCCTGCAGATAACAGATCAGCAGCTGCAGTTGGACTGCCGTATGGAGAACGGAATCCATCGAGCGCAGATCCTTGCGGCTGCACGCCGGCCTGCCAGGCCCTGCCTGACCGACTCACAGCCTGCAGGCCCAGACGTGTTCATCAGCTATCGCCGCACCACTGGCTCTCAACTTGCCAGGTCAGAGCTGAGACCAGCTATTATATTTTACCATTAATAGTGTAACTAAAATGTGGAATTTACTCAGTGATATCCAAACTACATCTTTATCTGATATCAACATGGAGGATAAAATGTTATTATTAAGGCTAATGGTGATTGTAATTTGTCTTCCCATAAAGCAGTCTGGTTTGTACACTTTATGAACACTAATCATCTATGACTAAATACAGTCTTGGCAGTCTAACAAAAATGAAAGTGTGAATATATGAATGCTTCAGTGAAAAGGAAAGCATGCTTTGATTCTCTTTCTCTTCAGTCTGCTGAAGGTGCACTTGCAGGTGCGTGGCTTCAGCGTCTTCATCGATGTAGAAAAGCTAGAGGCGGGCAAGTTCGAGGAGAAGCTGATAAGCAGCGTGCAGCGAGCGCGTAACTTCATCCTGGTCTTGTCAGCCAATGCTCTGGACAAATGCATGGGTGACACAGCCATGAAAGACTGGGTGCATAAGGTTAGATGTGGAAATGCCCTGTTTAACCTGCCTTAACAAAGAACTTGCCATTTTACACAGACCTATTTTATGTATACCCATTCAGAATGCAACCACTCAGTCTCAGATCAAAGCAGCAGCCGACACCTTTAATCAGAATACATTCAGTAATCCAGAGATGTGAAGCATATGATTCTGTGTTGTCTGTCATCTGCAGGAGATTGTCACTGCTCTCAGTGGGAAGAAGAACATCGTTCCCGTCACTGACAACTTTGTATGGCCTGATCCCAGCTCTCTGCCTGAGGACATGCGTACCATTCTTACATTTAATGGCATCAAGTGAGTCAGTGTTCACAAACAGTATGACTATTATAATAAGCAGAATGTGGTTTTGCTTTCATACTGCTCCCACTTGTTGTCTCAGTCCTTCATAATAGGTACTTGACTACTGTAATCCATGTACTTACCCAATAAATGTTTTTAACAACAGATAAAATTGTTAAGATACACTAATTGGGCGTGCTTATCAATAATATTGACCTAATTACCCCTCCACTGCTACAGATGGTCCCACGAGTATCAGGAAGCTACTATAGAAAAGATTCTGCGCTTCCTAAAAGGACATCCTGGTCAGGAGCAGCTGGACAGCTCCAAGAGCCACAAGGAACCACAGAGCAATCCTGCTAAGAGTCACTAATGCTGAGCTGTCTCACTGATTGCATGCAAACCATCGAATATGAATAATTTATTCAGAATGAACAGATAATGTGTTATAAACAGATATGAATAACAGTATGAATAGGTGGTGCACTATTTCTTTTCATTTCTTTATTATTATTATTTTTTAGCATTAGCCTTATTAATCCCCAAAATAATCCCATGGTTCTCTACTGAAATGGGCCAAAATTCAGAAAGTCTGCAAAGTAGCAAAATACACATCACATTATTTAAAAGGGAACAGCAGCCTTTCAGTATGTGTTGCAGGCTTCATGCACATACTGCTGTCTGGTTGAGTGAGCTACTCACTTCACAGATTTATGACTAGAGCATAGCTTCAGTTTTACATTTGTAAGTTAAAACGTCTAATTTTGAATTCCCAGCAGGGCGACGTACAGCCTATACAGAACAGCCACAATGTGTAGGTCACCATATCCCTACTGCAGTCTGAACAAAAACAGTCTTAGCAGATGAGTGATTAATACTAATGTAAAGAAATACTGCCACAGTGGACCATGCCTACTTCTGGTCCAAATCTCAGTACATAAACTGATAAACTAATGCAAACACAAATCTATAGCATACTACAAACCTTTGACAGACCAGTTCCTTTAAATGTGCAAGAATGAAGTGAAATGAGCCTAATTCATAAGAGAAATAAAGGGAGCTACAAGGACTTTGGAGCTACAGATGGTAAAATGCAGTCAGTGAAGATGAGTCTACTGTAATCCTTTAGTCCTTAACATGTAACTACTGTGTCTCTTTGCCATGTGTGAAGAAATCGCTGCCTGTCACTCAGGAATATCCCTGTATTACTAACCACAGGAGATGAATTTTACTTTTAATATCATGTAACATTATTTTTTTGCTTAGTCTAAAATCTGTATGCTTGTTCATGATGTCATATTCATGTAGTGTATGGCTGCAGATGGCAGCTGTAGATGCTGGCCTTCTTTAATGGTACCTTGTAATGATTCTCCCAGATATAAAGGTCATCATTGGTAGACTTGAGAATCAGGGTTGTCCTGACATGTAGAAATGGCTCTGGATGTGTTCTGATTATTTCTGGTGTAATTCTATAGTTTCAAACATGAAACTAGCAGAGTTCCATATACTTTCTGTTGTATGACTTTAGATTTGAGCTGACTTGACATTTTCGCAAGAAGAGTAGAGTGGAAAGTGGGAAAAAACATCTAGAGGCTCTTACACGGGTAGCTATGCATAACATCTCTTAACCACATAACCTCATAACCATACTGATGCTTGGTTTGCATCATCTGCAATACAGATAACTAATTACGGCTACTTGCCTCTGAACCAGCTTCGAAGTCTTTATACAGGAGAATCTGGAACTTTGTGTAACTTGGAATGACTGACATTTCAAACAAGATGCAGTATTGGGAAACACTAGGGATGGCAAACTACAGCTCAGCCTGTTTGCTTTTATGGATATTCTAACCACTCGACGGAAGGTTAATTTGTCAGTAGGGTAATATTTGAGCCATGTTTATACTTTTAAAGGGGAACCAATTTTTCAACATTTCTGCATGATTTGGTTGTTGAGTTGTAAATAAAGTGGTTTGTTGTTCAATGGCTCATTGAAGAAAAACTTGATGTGACTCAGATTTCTTTACAGTGGTGGTGATAGAAACCAGTGGTCTCAATGTGTACAATACAAACCATTTTATTTGCTATACAAAACAACCAGTGAACCTACACTTGTTGTCTTGAGTTTTTTTTTTTTTGCCTTTACAACACCCTGCATGTATCTCACTGCCATGAAGGGATTTAAAAAATAGTAGTTTTAGGTCAAAATGTATTGTAAAACGATGTCTCAGGCATCGGCCTGCATATTCATAATCATTTTATATAATAATTGCTATACCTTTAAGTTTCATTAAACTCCTTAGTTGTCTGGTTCCTATCACCACCACTGTAAACAATTCTCACTCAGCAAGTTTCTCTAGAATGGAGCATATCACAAGAAAAACTTCTCTGAATTACTTTGTTTACATTACAACCATTAATGATGCAGAAATTTTGAAAAATTGATGAATTTGCCCTTTAACATGCATTGGGCATTCACAACATCATTTTTTCCCACCTCAACACCTCTTGCAATGTTGATAGCTTTATCCTCGCCTGGGGCAACTCCCCCTGCCTTAATGTCTAAATCTAATGTGTGTATATTAAAAGTATGGTGCATAAAACAACTGGTAAAGCTAGAGAAACCAGAATGGGCCAAGTGATAATGTAATATGAACTGTACAATAATTTTTTGTTCTGAAATAACTGTCAATAAAATGTTTTTGAAAATATTCCTTTATTTATTTACAGAATTAAATCGTACAGTAGTATTCATTGGTATATGCTGGTGTGAAATAGAGATTCTTGTTTGAAATCTGCACTGTGGTCATACTATTAGAGCTGACAGGACACTTTAATTTCCTATCCACGTAGGTCATAAGGCTGTAAAAATAAACAGTAATATTACATACAGTATCATTTCCCAGTTATGCTGTCATATTGTATCTGCCCCCTGGGCGTTTAGAAGGAAATAAAATAAGCCTACATAAGTAGACACGAATGGTGTTGTCAATGAGAAGATGGATGTTCTTTTTTAGAATGGCACCAGTGAGAGCTGAACTGTGTATGTTTTAGTGGAGACCTGTGTCCTGTGCTGTTATCCGAGTCCACTTAGGGGACTTCTACTCAGACAACCGTGTAACTCAGCAATTCCAGACTGCTTTAGCCACTGCTCTGCAGTGCTACTCCTCTTTTTCAACTGAGCAACTGATGTAAACTACTGACAGATTTACAGTTTATACATTTTCACAGTTATTTTTGCTTTATGCAAAGGCTGTTTAACAAAGGCTGATGATTTAGAGTTACAGGGATCTACTTTCTTCATAACAAGGGTGAAATAGCAGTGCTGACTGCTCAACATCTGTTCATACAGAATTCCCTTACTCACCAGTTCTGACAGATACAATTGTTTCAGGAGCAATATTCATTTAATACCTACAGACCAAAAAAAGACTAAGTTCTGCAGGAAAAACAGCCTTGGTCACAAACTGAGTAAGGCCTCTGGGTCCCTTTGCTGTCATTAAGTGGCAAGGATCTTGCACAGCCAATTTCAGTTTACTGCAGTTTCCCTGTTGATCATCCTTTGTTCTTGGCACCTCAAGCCCCTTAATAAATAAAAAAGAAACAAATCTATTGGTTAAACTTGCACATCTCCGCACAACAAGACCAATAATTATTTAATTTCTGTTATATAAACTTGACCACCCCATGCCAGAATGGCACAGCTCATTAAATGACCCATATCATGGAAAACTGAATTTCCCTAACTTTTGAGTTTTAATAAAGTAGTTTAATGCAGTACATAAACATATACAAATGTACCATTCACTTTAACCATGCCTATTCATGTTGGTGTTACTTACGCAGTATTTACCTCTAACTGCTTTTTGATGGAGACACAATACAAGGCAGCCAATCAGAACAGGGGTCCTTCATATCAATCTCAAAGGCACAGCAACAGAAACAACCTGATTCTAATTCTAATGAATTATTTAACTAATAAATTGAGAGAGTCTGGAAAACACCATAAATGGACGTCAGGGTAAAAATAAAATACAACAAAATGAGGATATGGGCCCTTAAATACAGAATATACTTCATTTGCCTAGATAGAGTCTAGCCTTTCTTGTGATCTTACCCAATTATTCCAGCAGGGATGAGGAGTACAAAGGCCCCGAAGAGGAAGGGGAAGCCCTTCATGACATGTAAGGTGGCAGGATACAGAGAGTTAAAGACTCCACTGGCCACCAGTGAGCAGAGACCTTCAACACAAGCCACGGAAGCAAACAGAGCACCTGAGAGAAATTACAGACACAATTATTATTTCAGCTCCAATTGTTCCCTTCTACTGTATAATTTGAAGAAGTTATACCTTGCTCTGAAGGATCCACCAGTTTGGACAGTTTGGATCTCAGAACTGGAGTGGAGGTAATTAGGAATAAAGACAGGCCATATCCTGGTAAAGGCAGATAAGGAAACAGATCCTAGTCATGTTTACCTTCACAACCAAGCTTTTCTTACTACAGTCATTAGATGGCAGTGCAGAGTAGCCTTAGGGGAAGACTGTATCTAAATATAGACTATTCTTCACTCTCCTTGCATGTCACTATTTGCATGCTCATTACAGTGCATTACTTGGCCATCAATCAAACAAAGTACACAAATACAGTAACTAAAAAAGGGCAGAGAATAATGTGAATGATTTCCTTGACATTTATCCTTTAATCTACTCTACAAAACCCAACACAATTATACTGTACTGAACTCTAAAAGATGGTGGCTTAGTCTGCCTGATTTTATTAAGGTTTAGTCATAACTAGATGCTAAACATTTCTCAGATTCATTTTCCATTACATAATCACTCACTGGAACATGAGGAATCCTTTAACCTCTTTTATAATACCTCCCTCCTGCTGTTCTGATAAAAACAGCTCTGTATGTGATACATGTTCTGATAGATCAGGGACGTGCTGTACTCAGGTAACAAAGACAAAGCATTTTTTAACTGCCACAAAATAGTCCTGGAACATGTGTTTGCAATCGTGAAATTTCATATGCCTCATACAAAGCTAATACATTAGTTGCTTCTGCTGTAATATAACTCCCTAACCAAACTGCATTTGCTTTGCCTAAAATAATGCATCAAACACTATTGATAAAATACACAAAATTAGCTTATCGGATCTTCGCTGTGTGGAAATGTTACCTGTGAACATGAGAGCTGTAGTGTTTGCCACAGAAAACACTACCAAGCCGGTCATGTTGGAGACCAGGCCTATGATGGCCACCCAGGAGTCCTCCAGACACAACTGGAAAGCCTTCAGGCCCAGCAGGCTGCTGAGGTATGACAGGTGCTGAGCAGCAGAACCATAGCCAATCAGCTCAGAGTCCCAGCACAGAGGAGAACTCAGCTCATAGAGCACATACAGCTCCCGAGAGCCAAAGTGCACAGCGACCACAAGGAAGAAGCAGAGAGTGTAGAGCCACAGCCTAGCCCTCTGTCCTCCCTGCCCTCCAGACATATAGAGATCATAGACAGCTCTGTGGTGCCGGGCAGAGAACAGCCTTGCCTCAGGATCAGGAGTGACTGACTCAGTCACAAAGAGGTAAGCGTACAGCGCTGTGGCCAGGTTCGTGGCCAGAACAAGCCAGAAAGGGTTGATATACCTGAAATCATAAGAAGCAAGGGTGAGACTTGTCAACACTCGAATATAGAACACAGATTTAAGCACAATCTTCAATGATTGACAAAATTCACACAATTTTCCCCTTAGCTGAGATATAGTCGTTGACTAATGTAGCTAAATTAGCATTGTGCAAACTGCCTCAAACTGCATATTCTGTTAGGAAACCTCAAACAGAATTGCTTATGTGGTCTCTGACACTGTATGATGGCATGGACGATTTAGTCTAGTGAGCCCTTGCAATGGAAAACAGTATAAAGTGGTGCTTGAAAGTTTATAACCCCTTTAGAATTTTCTATATGTCTACATAAATATGACCTAAAACATCAGATTTTCACATAAGTCTAAAAAGTAGATAAAAAGAATCCAACTAAAATAAAAAAGGGTCAAAAACATTATACTTGATCATTTATTTATTAAGGAAAATGATTTATTTAGGAAAATTATCCAATATTACATTTCTTTAAGTGGCAAAAGTATGTGAACCTTTGCTTTAGGTATCTGGTGTGACTCCCTTGTGCAGCAATGACTGCAGCTAAATATTTCCAGTAATTTGTAATTTGCAGCTCAGTCCTGCATATCAGCTTTAAGGAATTTTAGTCTATTCCTTCTTCAGCTCTGTGATGTTGGTGGGTTTCCTTGCATGAACTGCCCGCTTCAGGTCCATCCACAACATTTCTATATGATTAAGGTCAGGACTTTGACTTGGCCATTCCAAAACATTATTTTAATTCTTCTTTAACCATTCTTTGGTAAAACAACTTGTGTGCTTAGGAGCATTGTCTTGCTGCATGACCCACATTCTCTTGAGATCCAGTTTATGGACAGATGTCCTGACAGCTCATTGTTCCATCAACGATGGCAAGCCATACTGGCCTCAGATGCTGAGGCCCAAAAAAACAGGCCCAAACCATGACACTAACCACCACGTTTCATAGATGGGATAAGGTTCTTATGCTGGAATGCAGTGTTTTCCTTTCTCCCGACTTAACACTTCTTATTTAAACCAAAAACTTCTATTTTGGTTGCCTCCATCCACAAAGCATTTTTCCAATAGCCTTCTGTCTTGTCCATGTGATCTTTAGCAAACTGTAGACAAGCAGCAATGTTCTTTTTGGAGAGCTCTGGCTTTCTCCTTGCAACCCTGCCATGCACACCACTGTTGTTCAGTGTTCTGTTGGTGGACTCATGAACATTAACATTAGTCACTAGGAATATTATTCTTGAATTGTTGCACTATTTGCCTGCACAGTCTTTCACAGAGTGGTGAACCCCTCCCTATCTTTACTTTTGATAGACTTAACCTCCCTGGGATTCTCTTTTTATACCCAATGATGTTAGTTGTGAGATTTTCCACTAGGTTCTTTTTTGTAAAAAGCGTTGTAATTGGGTTCTCTATGTACTTTTAGGACTATCTATGTTTTAAGTCATATTTATGCAGAAATGCAGAAAATTCTAAAGGGTTCACAAACTTTTAGGCACCACTCTATGTGACTTTTCATGAAAAAATCATATAAGCACGGTATGGCTTTGTGGTATTGATGCCCTGTATTTAAAATAAAGGGGTTATTAAAATGTGAATAAAGCATCATTTCACTTTTTGATGTAAAAGGTTGTACAAAATAAAATGGAAAATAAAATAATTGATAATCCAAAAAAGGTGGAATAAGTAATATATAGTTTTTTGTCAGAGGTGCTAATTTTTTTATAGACAACAGCGCATCTCCAGTTCCATAGCTCCAGTGCAAAACTAAAAAAGCAAACTTTGGACATCAAACACGCCTTGGCTAATCAACTATATTTTGGGTAAGGGGGAAAACTGTGAAACACTGAACACTGAAGTTATAAGGAATGTCTCATGAGGCACAATATGGGATAGCCAATTAGAAAAGAGGTAATTTACATATACCAGTCTCAAAAGCACAGTAACAAAAACAACCTGTTTAATCCTAAGTGATGAAGAGAACAGAACTGTAAAAATTATGACTGTTTTTGGTACAGACCTGAGGGGAAGAAATAAAACACAAGAAAAGTGTAGGATTAGGGCTCTAATGTGTGTTTGGAAAACCAACATTTTAATCTCAAAAAACTGAACTGAACACAGACACTGTTAAAATAACAAAAACAATTACCCTTGTGCTCGTCGCCATTCTCCTCCAATAATGCTTGCAAACATTCCAGCAAGACCCAGACATGCCTCCAGTATTGCCACACGAAAGGTGCGGGAGCGCTTGTCACTGATGTCTGCCACATAAGCAAAACAGCCAGCCAGGATGGCATTAAAATCCCCAGAGAGGCCACTGCAGATCCTTCCCAAGAGGAACCAGGCCACAGGCAGCTTCATGTACATCACAATCAGGTAGATACTAGCCTGGACAGCAAGGCCCAGACTAGGGATGATCAGAACCAAGCGGCGACCCGCTCGATCACTCCATGAGCCAAGCAGGATCACCACAAAGAGGCCCACCAGAAAACCTCCCAAACTGATGTACAAGTTCCAGTGCGCAGTTAGAGCTTCGACCTCCTGGATGATAGACAAAAAACATGACCAAGTGGAGGGTCTACTTCTCTGGGACACAAATTAAACTTTGCTTAATTGGACTGGGAATGAGGAATTTCCATGGAAATCTGTTTTTCTTGCCCGGATTCTGACTGCGATATATTTTGAGGGTCATTTGCAACAAGGCAATAGCAGCTATTTAGCAGCTATTGGTCATAGCACAATCATACTAAAATTATCAGATGGTCAGTGTAGGTGTTTCTAAGGCAGTGGCTGCATCAACATACCTTATCAAAAGGCAAAAACTTATCTGATGTACTTCATCCAAGTGGGCCAGCACTGATTTTGCAGGGTTCTGTAAAACCTACATCTATTTTTAAGCCTTCAAATTGATCTATTTATCTCTCTTTTTCTTTCAAATTCAAGAGGCATCAAAATGCACCCAAATGTTGTATGAGCCTTGTGTTTTGGTGTATATTAAAAATGACGGTGACATCATTAAAGTCAACGAGACACAGAAATTATATTACATTTTCCTGACAGTGTTGCTCGATTGAAACTCGGGATCAGGAGGTTTTCTAAACTAAATGAATATTGAGCTTGATGATGGGTGGAGGCGGATAGAGGAGGTAAAACATGTTATTTGTTATTATTATTTTCCCATACCTGCTAATGCAAAGTGATGTAATCAAAATCCAGAAAATGTTTTTGAGGTGGACAAAAGTCACTATACTTTAAAGATCAAAGATTACAGGAAATCAAGCATTTTGTCTTTTAAATGATCGATGAATGACAAAATGCTTTATATGATCAGGGTCATAAACTAACAAGGCAAAAAAGATCAGTTTTGACTTCTGGTTGTTTAAAAAAAAGGAAAAGTCTGCAAGAAAACAAATAGGTCTTTTAATTGTTAATTGGGATCATGAAAAAAAAATCTGTTTTAATGCTACAGGAGTTTCAGGAGGTTCAGTTACAGGATAAATTCAGTTCCTGTGTTTTACTACTAAGAGTCCTTGGGCAAGACTCCTAACACTACCTTCACCTGCCTGTGTAAACTGATCAAACTGTAAGTCGCTCTGGATAAAAGCGTCTGCCAAATACTGTAAATGTAAATGTACTACTGCACTACACAAGCAAGTTATTATAATACTGAAAGACAGTAATGCGGAAATGTTATACTAGAAGAAAATATTATATTAGTGTTATGCAGCACTGTAGAAACAGCAACGCTTCTTATAACGTTACTGTATATCTTTTTTGTAAGGGAAGTACAGCTAATGAAACAAGGACTTTGAATTACCCTGAACGGATTTTTGCACTGACCCCACACGGCCACCGTAGCCAGAGCCGGTAAAAACAGCGCGGATTTTTCGCTGATCTTCAACTCATTTTCTCTCCATGCTCTACAACGCCGTGGTGTGTATATCATCGTCTGCGCAAATTGAGCGCACCCCTGTGTTCGTATCTACCTTCTGCAGCTGATCGTGTGCAGCGGAAGAGTTGCACCCTCCTCCTTTCGTTCCGTTGTAGCCCAGATCCTCGCTGATGCGGTCCCACAGGTACTGGGTGTAGAGGGGCATCTGCAGCGCCAGAGAGAAAGTGGAGAGAAACAATACGGGCTCCACCGTGACCGAAAAGGGACACGAGTACGGCGGAGCTCTACAGGAGGAGGAGCTTTCGATCGAGTCCTCCGGCTCCGGGTTCAGCGCGTCTGCAGGCAAAATCTCTCTAGTGTCCGAGTCTTCCTCCATGACAGAAGACCACCGTTCAAAACCCCAGCTCAGTCACTCAGAAACCTCCGTTTGGCGAAGCTTCAGGTTGGAAAAAAGATCCAACTGAGAAGTTCCCCAGTCTGAGCTGCAGTAGCTGCGTTTTCACCCCGAACTTTGTCTTCGTCAGGTCACGTGAAAAATAGCCTGTTCAGCTCCTTGTTTTGCTTGCGCAAGTAACGTTTTCTTGAGTCCAGGAGAGGGAGTAGTTTACTGCAGTCTTAGAAGTCGAGAGATTAGTGCACAGACACGAGTTACTGTTTTTAAAACTGTGTACAAAAAAGCCCCAAATACTATTCCCTAAAAAAAAATCACAACACACCACATATAAGTATACAAAATATACAGACACAAATGAGTAAATAAAACCAATTACTTTTTGTTATACATGTACAAAAAAAGTCACAAGGCCTTTACAACATATACGTTATAATACAATATAATTTATTAAGGGAGAAAAATAAACATAATTGTTAAGCTATGTACAAAAACAAACCAGCAAAAAAAACCCTAATACCCAGGGAAAAGTCACATACAGCTTATACAAACACTAAATATGCAGGGCAAAAAATAAACTGAGCAAACTACTATATGGCTAAAAGTATGTGGACACTCCTCCTAATTATTGAGTTCAGCTGTTTCAGCCACACCTATTGATGAAAGGTGTATAAAATCAAGTGCAGAGCTATGCAATCTCCATAGGCTGTGTAATTTCTGCCTTACTAGATCTGCCCCTGTCAACTGTAAGTGCTATTATTGTGCTTCATGAAATGGGTTTCAGTGGCTAAGCGGTTGCCCACAAGCCTAATATCACTGCCAGGCGTCAGCTGGAGTGGTGTAAAGCACACTTGCACTGGTGCAGTGGAAATGTCTTCTCTGGAGTGACGAATCACGCTTCACTATCTGTCAGTCTGATGTATGAATCTGGGTTTAGCGGATGCCAAGAGAACGCTACCTACTAGAATGCATGTGCCGAAAGCAGTTTGCTGGAGAATTGATAATGGTCTGGGGCTGTTTTTTCCCGTTAGTTCCAGTGAAGGGTAATGTTATTGCTACAGCACACAAAGTCATTTTAGACAGTTAAATGTTTCCAACTTTGTGGCAGCAGGTTGGAGGAGGCCCTTTCCTGCTCAAGCATGACTGTACCTCTGTGCACAAAGTGAGATCCAAAAAGACCTGATTTGACAAGTCTGGTGTGGAGGAACTCCAGTGGCCTGTACAGAGCCTTGACCTCAACCCCACTGAACACCTTTGGGATGAATTGAAAGGTCGATTGTGAGCCAGGCTTTCTCGTCCAAAAACAGCATGACCTTACAAATGCTCTTTTGACTGAATGGGCACAAATTCACACAGGCACACTCCAACATCTTGTAGAAAGGAAAGCCTTGGCAGAAGTGGAGGATAAGTTGGAGGGGGGCAACTACATATGCCCATAGTTTGGGAACAGGATGTCCAGCAAGTTCATTAAAGTGTGATAGACAGATCCACAAAACAGTGAATGGAAGTTACTGAAATGATCCTAAAAGGCTTTTAACAATTTTGTTATATTTGGATTGCTGTGAATAAAATTGATTTACTGTTACTGATTTACTGTTAGCTGAATTGATTATGTAGAATGCAGGCTTTTGCTAGGTAGTCTTCAGTCCCAGGCAGGTTACTTCACAAACCCCTCTCCAACTTGCTATAGCAAATAGTCTTATGAAGAAGGCCTTGATAATGAATGGCATCAGGGGTGTTACATTAGCTCCATTATAAAATTCCTCAGTAATCCCCTGCAAGTTGTAGTAACCATGTTTTCTCATACAAATCTTAAATGGAAGTGCTCTTTCTGAATCACACAGCTTTCCTGTGTTTACTTTAGGCCTATGCTCTTTTATCAGTAGTAGATTGAATACTGAATAGGGCTGCTCAATTCATGAACCTTAAATTGCAGAGGTTATGGCATTTTTACCTCCAAAAGTATTCAGTAATCTTTGAATTTAAATTCATTATTTGTTCTTTTAAATGTTGGGACTGTTCCAGGGCCTTTTGTTGCCTGGTCAAGGATCAAGTGAGCTTATAATGGGATTCTAAGAGCTTACGTACAGGAAATCATTTCAGAATGCTCTGCTCATGATTTAACCTTTTACGTAGTTTTTTTTTCCTCTGGCAAAACATGAAGACTAATACTGTAAAATACAGATTAAATTACTCACTGTAATTTGTGCAGTTGCTTACTCTCAATTCAATCTTACATCAGTTTATGAGTATGTATTTAGACCTATGTCTTTTGATTTGGTTTTGCCAAAACCACAACTAAAGTCAGGCTCAGCAGGGAGAAGACAGAAATTCAGATTACTTGGCAGTGCTTATCAGTCATTACCTTTTCATCATGAGCTTTTTCCAGAAAGAAAGATCAGATGATTGCCAGCTATTGCTTTGCTTTGACTATAAAGACTATAAATGTCTGTTTTTTTTTTTTTTGGGCCTAGCTGATAGGCTTATGCTGTACTTCAGGGGTGCCCAACTCCGGCAAATTTAGGGGCCTTTGATGTAATAAATGTATTATTATTATTATTATTATTATTATATGAAGTGTTTCGGTTAAGTACTTCCAGCAGCTGATATTTCTCCAGAAAATCCTGTCTTCTGTTTGGATCTTCAGCGGGCTTCTCAATGGCTTATTCTTGTTTACTCTGATTATCTCCATTCATCTTTTTGCTGGCCATCCTCTTCCTCAAAACCTTCAGCTTTTCCAAGCATAATTGTCTTTCCCTATGACTTGGTACCTCTAATAATATATCCAAAGTTTAATTAGGTTTTCTGGGCTTTGAGTGAGAAGTGAAGTTTGATTTAGCCAAGGATCTATTTTTTTTTTTTATTTTCTTCCCAGGTACTCTCAATCTTCATCTTGTTGCTGGCCATCCTCTTCCTCAAAACCTTCAGCTTTTCCAAGCATAATTGTCTTTCCCAATGAATTGGTTCCTCTAATAATATATCCAAAGTTTAATTAGGTTTTCTGGGCTTTGAGTGAGAAGTGAAGTTTGATTTAGCCAAGGATCTATTTTCTTCCCAGGTACTCTCAAAAGTCTTTGCCAGCACCAAGGTTTCAGTATTTTTCCTGTCCCTCTTTTTGATTTTCCAGCTTTCACATCCACAAAGAACCACAGAAAAGACCTGAACAATTATGATCTTTGTCTGTAGAGACACCTCAGTACATTTTAAGATCTTTTAAGCTCATTCATTCTTGTTTTGCTGAGTGCCAATCTGTGTTATATTTCCTGACTGCAAGATCATTTATTGTTAATAGCTGATCCAAGCAGGAAAAAGCTGTTCATCACTACTGCATCTTCACCATCAAAGTAAGTGGTCTTGTCCTGTCTTTCCATTCTGTTCTTTAACTTTTACTTTTAATTTTTAATACATGTAAATATTCTGTTAATGATCTCATCTCTTCTTTTGTATTTGAGTTTTCTGACGGATGCCGTAGTTACCCTATCAGTCTACTTTTTTTGTTCAAAAAAGCCAAAATTTTCCATGATGATGCTCCATGATGTTCCCAGTTACGTACATAAATTGTTTATCTATAATCTTCAATCTTCCTGTAAAAATGAATAACTTCTACATCAGTCCGTTATCTCCAGCTTTCACACTGACTCAGCTCGTTCTAAAGGTCCCGAGAGGCCTGAACTTATACCACATACCATAGAGATGTGTATATACTTTCTGGAGTGATAGCATTGATATGTACATGGTCTTCTGCATGTGTTTCTGGGTATATTGTTTCATATTAGATGGTTCAGCAGATGATGAGAGATGATGATCCTAATGACAGGCCCTGGGGTCAAAGTCATTCCTCACATGTAAGCAATAGCATGCTGCCCTTGTGTTAGGTAAACAAAAGACGTGTCATCATGATGAAGTGCAGAAGAACTAAGCTTACTAATGTGACATTCCAGAGGGCCTCACTGCCCTCCAAAGGTACAGTGCATAGTGTGCACTGAACCAATTCAAAAGGTACAGGATTACATACTCTACCTGTTTATTTATGCTCAATGGAGTATGAGGTACTAAGTGTTTTTTTCTTCAGGAATGGTAGTCATGGCCATTCCTCATGAGTGTAGATGTCCAAGTCTGTACTATTGCATTATTGTGTAATTGGAAAGATCTGCTGGCATTCTTTGAGAACGAGAGCTATTCCATGAAATAGCTAAATGAAGGGGCTCATGAGTGGTGCATAGGCCCTGTCATTTGGCGTTCACAAATCCAGAGTGCAAGTGAGCATAATTAGCTTTGCTCTCCCCATTATCACTCAGTGTAATGCTAACCAACATGGGGTGTCTGTTAGCAAAAGAGTTGGCAGTCACCGTTCTTCTTTCAGCATGTTGAGCTGTCTAATGACACTAGGTCCTGGTCCTGTGAAAGGGGGAGACCTAGCTGCTTGAGACCCTGGCCATGACTAAATTGGAGAAAAAATCTGTTTTCTGTCACAATAACTAACTTAACATCCTACCCAATCACTAATTAACATTACCTTTTTCCTTCTATCTCTTGATATTTTAAATTAAATTCACAAGCTGATTCAGGAACCACATGAAGTGGTTCAAGCTGGCTGAATTATTCTTATGAGTGATGAATGCACTCTAAAGGGTGAAAATAACAACGCACTTGTGTTCCCTATTTGAACACATTTTATGTATTTGTTTTCTGTTTTAACACATTTTGTGTTAAAAGTAACATCACATCTGTTGTAATAGAGAGGACGCTTACTTTGTTGTGGTTTCTATTTTTTATTCCTCATTTTGCCACTACCAGAACAAAACCTAGTTTCTCCATTTTTCATGTTTTCAACATAATTTAAATTTACATTACTTCACAATGAGTGGACCAATAGAAATTGCATAAAGTAAAATTTTGTTCCATTAACTTACATTGAAAGTTAATATTTTATATGAATATTTTTTCCTTTTCCTATAAAGTTACTCCTGGATATATGAGGTTTTATCCTGACAGTGACGACGTGTTCAATGCTTGAGGGAAAACCCCTAAAAGATTGATTGAAGACTGATATGTTTTTGATTTTGAATAATATTTTTCAGTTCACTTTGAATCCAAAGTGTACACGTAGAGGAGAGGCAAAACTATGAGAAATGTCAAATATCAAAGTTTATTAAGCTTGCATTTTTAGTAGATGATTTAACCTTGTGCCTGGAAGGAGTATTTTGAAGTTAAGGATGACCTTAGAGAAGCACCAGATTTTACTGTTAGCATTAGCCACACCTGTAGCTCTTTTGTGCTGAGTAGATGCCGATCTTCAGCTGCAGTTTCATGCCATGGTTAGGATTAGAGCTCCACAGACCCCAACTGGGCTGGAATGAGCGGAGGGGACAGACGGCAAATCCTTTCAGTGAGGGAGATGAGGTGGAGGTGAAGGGGATGAGAGCATGAGCAGGGCAGGCAGAGAGATGAGATTTGTAAATTAAAATGTAATATATTATAGATATAAAATATTATAACCTGCTGTCGATATATTGCGAAAAAGTAATAGAAAATACAATAATAGATTTTTTAAATATTATATTTTTATGGGTTGCCTATAGTATGGCAGAATAGTGGTTCAATGGTTCATGGTAACCTCTGGATGACCCCTGTGACCCTCGCTTATCCAGGCTTTACCAAGGGACTAGTTGTTGGTCAGCTGTTTTCTGTAAAGTCAAAGAGAGAGAGAGAGAGAGAGAGAGAGAGAGAGAGAGAACCAGCATATATGACCCAGCATTATGATTTTGTCTTTGTACATCTACTCAGTTGTAACAAAAGCAGACTCCACAAGCTTCAGCGGTTGGTAAGTGGGCCTTATTTTCCTCTAAATGCTTCATAAATATCTAAAACTAGATAGATATTAATCTGATTGAACAGTTGGCACAGCTATATACTTTAAATAGTAAAAATAACAAAATTAATCATTTCAGTTGGTAATAAATCATACTGAATGGTATTATTTGTTTTGGGAACCTCTTTTTTGTTTGTTTCCTATTGAAAGCTTCACAGCATCAATTTAGGAAATTAGGTTGTGACACTTCTTTGGCATAAGCGCTCTCGGAGGTGTGACCTTACTCCCTCGCTCAGGAGCCTCGCTGCACACCCCAGACAGAGCAGCTGTTAGGGAGTTATTTTGGAAGATACTGAATTTTATTGCCTTCACTTGAGCTGAAAGTGAATCACCAAGTTCATAAATCTAGTTGCCTCAAGGATGTTTGCCACTGAATGGTTCATGAATTCATGAAACCGTAAATCTGTGAAGGAATTTTTCTCCTTTGAGCTGATTTTCACATTCCTTCTCTTCTTCCGAGCCCCTGCTTTTTGATTCTACCAGAGTCAACAGAAACACCCGTCCATTTGTTTGTCACAGTGCTTTTGCTGAATGGCGGGAGTCCAGACATTACATGAGACAACACCTTGTTCATTTGCAGTCATTAAACAGCCCTGTTGTAAAATTGTCAGTTTATGTGTTCTTCAGGAATGTTCAGCATGCTGTGGTGCATCATTTACAGAGAGGGTGGTCCCCAGAGTGTGTTTCTTGTCTGATCTGTTTTTGTGGTTTCCTGAGGTCACCTGCTTTAGCGCAGAGCACGCAAAGACTGGCAGCTGTGTACTCAGGCTCTGTCATGCAATATTCTGGTGCCAAACTATTCTCCACAAACTGAGCTTCCTCAGCATGCTGAGGGTATGTTATTTCAGGCCTACTGCTTAAGAAAACACTGAAACAAGACTTGTTCTTAAAATGCAAAGCAGCAGTATTCGTTTTTTAATTCAGTAGTGTGGTGTTGGCCTTAAGCTTTCGCGCAGCCAGTGGCTGGATTGGACTCCTAAGGCCTTTTCCAGAACGCCTGCTCTGCGTTCATTTAGATTGGCTATCTCTTTTTTGTCCTATATACAGTAGCATAAAATAACAATGTATAGGAGCAACAATACACAAAAACAAAAACCAGGCACTGTAATATGTTTGTAAACATGAATAAAGGGATTTGACTTAATGCAGCAATGAAGTAGAACAGACTGATTCTTGATCTGTTTTGCTTCTGGTGATTATCCTGCAGCATAGTAATTTTCAGCCAGGCCCCTTTTGGTCCCCAAACCTATTATGTCTCTTGTTCCACCCTTGCTCCATCTCTTTTTTATCTCCTTCACCAGTGTCTAGTCTGAAACCCCTCACATTATTAATCATTGTTCCCAGCTGATTCTGGTTTTATGTCTGTTTATTTATAGTCCTTAGCTACATAATATATATATACTCTATACTATACTAATGTATATACTCCTAATGGTCATGTACTACTTTTGCACACAGGCCCCCTGTCTTCTTGGTTTGGTATTGCTTATCTTTCATTGTTCATCCTGAGTGTTTATAGATCCGTTTTTGGCTTGTTCTTCATTTTATTTATTTATATATTTATTTATTTTTTGGTTGTGTTTTTTGTGCAGTGTTGTGGTGTTGCCTCATAGGGTTGCATTTGCATTCTGCCTCCCTTGCTTCAATACATGCCTCTGTTGATTCAATATATTTTATTGCAGAATTTTACTGCAGCCTCTGTCATATTGAGATGACTAGTAGCTTAGTGATAGGAGAGGTGAGCCAAGAGAGGTGAGCTGGTTGCCGTTTCAAATCTCAGGACTGATAAAGAAAGACACTTAACCCCTCACTGCCCTGGGCATTGCTCTGCTGGCATTGCTGTGCTGCTCCCACACTGGACAGTTTGGCAGCAAGATGTCAAATTACTCTTGTAGGATTCAAATACAAAGTAACATATCCAGGTGATTCTTACATTCACATTCAGAAGGAGTTATTAACTGCATTAGGTGTGCAAATTTGGAGATAGATGTAATTAAACAGTGCATCAATGTAAGGCACTGTTTTCAACAAAGCCTTTTATCATTTGATAAGGGGTGGCCGGTAGCTTAGTGATTGTGGGTTCAAATCCCAGGACTGACTAGGAATCCTGGTTGTGGCCTTGGGCAAGCCTCCCAGAGTTAGGCAGCAAAATGACAAATTTCCCTTATAGGATCAATAATGTATAACATGTTAGTGTGTACTGCAAACTAATTAAATGTTTTGGGAAATGTTCTATGGTTAATCTCCATGTCGATAAGCTTGTGTTGTGTTGGTTGTAGACAAGCTGACTTAATTGTAAAAAAATTTTGAAGCTTTAAAATCACTGCTTGTTTCCATAGTTTTGGCCTGCAGCATTGGTTCGCTCATTCAAAGATGGATGTTTATATGTATAGTGTATCAGTAACTATAAGCTGGCAACTGCATGCTTTGACACAGTATCTGTGCTGGCACCAGGAACAACACTACAGCAACGTGTCCTTCAGGCTTGTTTCCACACGGGTGAAACCCTCGTGCTGAAATGCAGCTCAGAGAAAGCAGAGGAAGAATGAGAGATGTGGCGGAGGAGGGTGTGGAGAGAGGCAGGACAGCAGAGGGAGGGTGCAATGAAAGTTTTCAGCTAGGTCACCACCTCAGGTGCTGACACTGGGCAGCGAGCCTGATCTCTATAGCAATGGGATGTGATTAGGGCTGTATCTGGTATCTCATTTAAAAAACAAACTATCTCTGAGAGACTGGCTTCCAGAGACTTTAGCAAATATGTGTGTGTGTTTATATGTGTGTGTGTGCTGGAGAACCTGTTGCAGCAGGTCCCTCTCCCATGGCTCTGTGGCTCCTATAGGTTGGCTCTGGGCCAGAGGGAGAGATATCTGTTAACACTCTTTCAGCTGAAACTTCATCAGCACAGTGAGAGAGTACGAGAACAAGAACGAGAGAGACGAAGAGAGAGAGCAAGAGCAAGGAGCTTTATGAAGGGGGCGTTCATGTTTGTGGGTGTGTATGCGCATGATATGCTTATTATGGGATGACTTGTATGAAAGTCTGAATGGAAGAAGCTTTGAGGAGGGTGCTCGGTGGAAATAAGGTAAGTCATACCAGTCATGGTAAATGATTCAGAGATGCATGGGCACTATTGAACACATAGACGCATTGACAATAATTCATTAGCTTATTGACTAATATGCAATCAGATTATGTTACTGTTGTATTGAGAAATGTACAATTCTCTGATATATTTTGTACCAACTTGTTATATGATATGCTACCAGTGTCAGCCCAAAATGACAGCTATACCGCAGCCTACTCCATGTAAAAATAAATAAATAAATAAATAAATAAATAAATGTAGTTATTCTGTTTTGCTCCATTAGCCAATTCTTCTTTCAGACTGAACCTCATAATCTTTAGACTTATACTACTATTATACTACTATAACTATGTAATTACCATAGAGTAACTATGACACTAACATGTAATATATAGTTATAAGTGTGAGAAATTGAAGTACAGGCCCATATGCAAGCCCTTGTGGTTTAAGGGGTTAAATCCTAAGCCCTAAAGGGGGCACCTTCATGCTGCTTCCAAGGGCATTAGAAGTGCAGATACATTGGAAGCAGCAGCTGTGCAGAACATAACTAATCTCTCCACATGCTGGATTTCCAACAGCAACCATGCACTTATTGATCTAAGATGCTGATAGCTTTAATGACAACATTCTGGTATTTCAGAAATGTTATAATGACAATGTTTTATTTATACTTCACATTACTTACTGTATATCCTACCATGCTGTCGCATCTTAGTTTTAGCATTATTGTGTATCGATAGATTGTCGATGCTGCAAAATGAACATGGCCGCTTTGCAGAATGTCTATCAGGCACAATTAATCTCAGAAGTGAACTTTGGCTTTTTATGCCCCTCCTGTGCTCCACACGTCTTGCATGTATTGCACAGATTTTAATAGCATGTAATATTCTTTACATATGTGACTCATTCAAGGCCCCTGTTTACAATTTGAGGAGTGACAGGCAGGTGTACAAGTGCATGCATGCATGTGCAGGAGAGAGACAGTTGCATTCCAGCACCGTGTCAAATCATTGATCCAGTGTGATTTGCATATAACTCTTAAGACAGTGACTATGTCATGCCTGGGATATGAAGAAGCTGGGAATGGGCAAAAATATGCTTTATATGATATGTACTGATTTCACCAACATTAAAATGTGTTATTTTATGCTGGAATAGTTTAGAGGCTCGTGCCTAAATAGTAATTGTGAGATTTGTGCCTAAATAAGAGATCAGTATAAGGTGGCACAATAAGTATTGTGATTTGCAGCCTTGATAGCTATTGTGAAATAGCGAGGCAGGACTAGAGATTGAACTTTTAAGTTACAGCATGTTTGGGTGCAAACAGACATTATGGGTCCTCTCTACGTGGCTGTGCAAAGCCAGCGCAGCACATTGGGATCTTGGTTGGCTCTCCCATAGCATTTTGTCCATTTCATATTTTTGTATCCTGCATATCTCATAATATGTGATAGAGGGGGCTCTTTGGAAATGAAGCAGCACAAGGTTCATTATTATTAATATTGTTATTGTAATTATTATACAGAAATGTATTGTGATAACTCAAAAGAGTGTGTAAATCACACTATGTTTAAATGATTCTTTGCCTGGTTAAATAGTTCCTCTCTTTGATGGAAAACTAGTTGTGCATAGTTCTTAAAAACTAGTATTGTTACACCAAATAACCTTTTTTTGGTACAATATAGAACCCTTTTTTGCTAGGAGTGCAAAAGTGGCATCCTTTATAATAGAACAAGCTAGTGAAATGAAGGCTCATTATAAAATAATTCATAGTTGTTACTGAATAATAAGCCAGTAGTTTAAGGGGTTAATACTTTCTTCTCTTTGGCTCATCTAGAGGCATTCTGAGACATTCACGTATTTGCTCATGTTTAAGGGCAAAATAATGCACGCAACCATGAGGTGCATAAGCCCTCAGATCAGTCAATCAGTTCTTCTTGGAATATGTTGCCATTAGCCTAACTATATGGAGCTCTTTTAACTCAAAGTAACCATGTTTAAAACCCTACAACTTTGGTGAACAAATACATCAGAATGATGTACAACTGTAAGGTACCCCTGGTGAAATGTAGCCTGTGTATGTTAAATGCAACAGATAAAAAGAAACTGTACACTAAATTATGAAAAAATGCCAGACAAATGCCATATTTAAATTTGCTCTCTGTAGAGGATGTGTTAACTTATTTTCACTTTAAATAACCAACAAAAATGTAATTTGACCAGGGTTGTTTAAACTTTTGTGTACATCTGTAAGTCATTGAGATCTGAAATGTACTGCTTTGTCTACAGTCTCCGGCTGAAGCACTGCCCTGTCCTGCACATTTTACTTCTCTAACATACCTGACTTCATCAGCACCGTGCCCGTCTTGAGCTGAACTGGATGTGTTAGAGCAGGAAAACACTAATCTGCGCAGGGCAGGAGTACTCTTTCCTTAATCGCATTGATAGTACATACAAGTTGCTTACTTAGTGTGGCAGAAATCTTCTTGACAGTATACAGTGTTACAGCTTACAGCTGACCCCATCTCAAACTTTAAACATCTGTCTCTGGTATTTTTATGTTCATCATGCAAAAAAGTATTTTAGTATATTATGATGTTTTAGAAGTTTAAAGTTTAAAATGGCTTTGTTACAATTTCAAGGCAGCTTCCTTCACAGCTTTTTTCAGTTAATTCAACTTGAAGGCTAAAGTTCATCCAATCAAACTTTTTCTCACATTTTTTAGAACAGCACCCAGGCAATAATGTAGAATTTTGACATATTTCCTTCTCTGGGAGGTTGTGGCATTTCCCAGAGTTCAAACTCACAATCTCCTGACGCAGACGCTTAGGCAGTTAGAAGTAAGTAATGTTCCAAAAAAATTCAGTACTCTGTGAAGAAACATTGATTTTGACTCTAAAAAATCAGTAACATGGTAGACTGAAAATTGAAAGTTCTGAACATCAGAAAAGAAGTTTACATGTAGCAGATTATAAGAAACAGATTGTTGTACTATTTGATGACCAATTACTAGAATAAATTTTTTTTATTTATTTATTATTTCATAATAGTTAAATAGTTAAATCTAACTTTTATGTGTTTCTAGTCCTGGTAGAGGCAGATAATAATATTAACTAATATTAACATGTTAACCCAACATTTTATATATATAGTACTGAATTAGTACTGAATTTTTATTTTTCGACTTGTTATTTACAATAGAGTTGTAGTAGTAGTAGTGATTTAAGCTACAGCTACAGCACTGAGTGTGTCATTCTGATGTTGCAACACTGCGCTTAGAGCAGCTGTTTAAAAGGTCTGTGAAGAGTAATATGATGACCTTAGAAGACCCTAATTAGGGACCACATCTCTGTATGTATATTCCACTTCCTCTATCCTTTAATGCAGAGGAACATGGATGTGTATGTGCTTAAAGCACCTTTAGGACACGTCCTCATATCTTTTTGCAGTGTAGTACACAATTGCGTAAAGAAACGGCCTTCATTTCACATGTGTAACCATAAACAAATAATGAGAATGTTTGGAAATCTCATGATTCATCATGATGGAGAACAGTGAACCTGCTTCAACACATCAACAAACTTTTCCAGGGCTTTTTGTTTTTTTGTTTGCACTTTTACACCATGAATCAGTCACTTTTTATCTGCTGAATATTGATTGACTTGGCTTCCTGTTTTCCCAGATTCTTGTGGTATCTGCTGTTTACAAGATGTTTAACGGTGAATAACATGTTTAACGGTGAATGATAGACACAGGCACAGAGTGACTGGTGACAGATGTTTGGCATTGGAAAATCATGAATGGCCAGTTTGGAGCCTGTCATGTCAGTGTATAGTATAATATGATTTTACAAGACTGTATGATAGTATGCTAGTTTCTAGCCCATACTAAAAATATAAAAAATCAGTACTGGGTTAGAAATACATTTACAGTGATAATAATAATTACAATGCAGCTTTAATGCATTTTGTATGATTAGGGTTCAGAAGTGTATTTTCTCTAGAGTTCAGCAAAGCACACCCTTCATCACGTCTCACATAAAATGATTTTTTGCGCATCATTTTTGCACAGCAGAAAAAAGTGTGATTTTCTCTGGTAGGCAGTGACAGACGGACCACAAAAGACATCAAATTTGCTGGCAAGAGATGAGTGGCTCTTGTGGTAAGTGTTTGAGGCTGTTGAGATTTATTCCCACTAACTGCACCTGAGAGGAAACCTTTAAAGAGCAAGACTTACAGCCAAAGTGCCGAGAGGGCAGATGAAAAAACTCCCACCAGTGACATGATGAATGAAAGGCTAAAGGGAGACATGCAGTCCATTTGAAATGTCAATCAAACTTGGGTAGGGAGGCAGAGTCAAAAGGCTGTGACTGCAATGACATGCATGACACAAGCAAGAGAGTGAGATAAATACAAGCATAAACGTGGCAGAGGAAATGTAGTATTGTGTGAAACATCAAACTATTTAAAATTATTTTATTCTGTAGAAGAAAGGACAATACACAGTGCATACTTAATAATAATAATAACAATAATAATAATAATTTTATAGAGCACTTTTTATACTTTGCCCCTGTGTTCTTCTATTTTTTTTTCCCCTGAGGTTCACTTATGACATTTATGTGATTTTATGTACCAAAAAAGTCCAATCTCTCTTTATCCTTGAGATAGAATTACTGTACCTTAAAGACTGATATATGAAAATGACCTCTGTTCTGATTGGCTGCCCTGTATTGTGCATAATTCAGAAAGCAGTCAGGGCTGAAACACTCCTTAAAACCTCAACTTGAGTGGGGCTAAACTGCTGTAGGCTACATAGGCAGAAATTTTGTAAATGTGTGCTTTTTTTGTGACATTACAGGCTGGTTCCATATATGCACTATATGTGCTGGGAAGTGAATTTTTTCAGTTTGAAATTTTATCAATGTGCGCATAGAATGTTAAACTCTTTAAAAAAATCAAGGGAAATTTGTTTTTACATGATATGTGCCCTTTAATGTCAGTACAGAATTGGAAACTTTTACACACCACTACCCACCGTGGCGGACTGGGTTTTGATTGCCTATCTTGCAAGCACACCATACCAATAAGAATCCTTGGGAGAGACTCCTAACACATTTCCTCTGGTACATAATTTAGTTATAAGTCACTCTTTATCAGAGCAAAAATGTTACTGTAAAAACAAGCCATTATACACAATTTCTGCAGCTGGTATATAGAGGATATTACCGCTGCCCTCCATGTGGTAGACTGGGGTAAGATTTCCTTAGTGGTGCAGTTCTAAGAAAAACAGGCTACAAGACATGGTCAACAAATAAATGATGTTTTAGATATTGCAACTGAACTATTACAAAATAGTTATTCATTTGTTATGCTTACACTTTACTGTATACACTGGTGTCATTGGGGTTTGCATTGCTGTGACAGTGAATGAGAGATCCATGAGCTCACATAAACAACTTCTCTGATCTTCCTTTTCACTTCCATCTATTTTTTGGTTAGACACAATATAAAAATGACAAAATAAATTATTACACCTAAGCATTTTATTGTTTAGAAACCCCTTTTTAAATCCTGATGTGACAGCTCACTTATTTCTAAATGTTTCAGAATATTCTAGCCTTATTTTGAAGCCACAGTCTGTGTTTTACAAAATTGCTAAAGCCTACTTAGCTGCTGAAATGATACTAATTTCACAGAGCTGATGAGAGCAAGTCTACCCATGGTTAGCTAACATTGTGCTAACTAGTATGCTAGACTAGCACATCACATTAATATTTATCAGAATCAACATTCACAGAGGTTTTCAATTCACGTGTGTCTGTTTTTACCTCAGATCACATCAGCATGTCTATGACTGACTGCAAGAGACTTGAACACAGTATCCCATAGTTGTATCCCTTGGTGATATCCTGTAGTGGTATCCCATGGTAATATTCATAGAAATGGATGAAAATGAACCAAGCAAACTTGTGAGGTGTCTTGGAATATGGCCATCGTATAATATATACAAAATATACAAAAACACATCTTTAGAAGTCAGTATGTGGAAACAGCCCTGTAAAAAATGGTCTATATATGGGTCCATATATGCCCAAATACATGCCTAAATTCCCCACCTGGGCAAGCACACCATGCTATACCAATAAGAATCCATGGGCAAGACTCCTAATGCAACATTCGTCTACCTCTGTAACATAATCAACTTGTAAGTCACTCTGGATAAGAATGTATGAATATGCATAAATATAAATTTCTGTTATGTAAAATATGTAAATTATATGGTTGCTTTCCTAACAAAAGTAGTAACTCCAAAAGGAAGAACATTGATAATGTGAGCTATTTCTATTAGTCTATTCATCACAAAATGTTCACACAATGTAAATGTAATCGGGAGTTATCAGATGATGTAAAGAAATAAAAATAGAAAAAAAGCTGAAGTTTTAATATGACAGCGATAATATCCACCATTTCATCAAAGATTAGGAATTTAAAGTGATCCCTATTGGATGAATTGCCATTTATCTCAAGTAGTACGGGCGTGATGACCATTTTCTCTGCTCAGCCTTTTTCTCTTTGCACTCAGGCCTAGGTCACACCGATAAGCATAAAGACATCTCAACTTCCTCTCTGATACTCAGTTACACTGTCTCTGTGTTTCGCATGAAGTCCAACTCATCCATCTCCATTTCACTTTACTTCCACGCTGCAAATATATTGGCTCTTGTGTGACAAATGCTTCATGGTTTGTTGGTGATTTTAATGAGTTTTTGTCTCAGACAGTCTAGTCTGTTGACTGTAAGTGAGAGAAGGCCGCTTTTCCAGTAAATCACCTGTGGCCACGTGAGGTGTGATCAGGTATCAGGAGTCTGAAATAAGAAATATATTTCCCCCTTTTTCAAAGTGCTTGAGACATCTTCACTGCTGTAGAAAGTGCTTACGTGTACACTTGGGAAAGAATTTCAATCACTGTCAAGAAGTTCCACAGCGATGAGCCTGTGAAAGTGCCCTGGAGTGGTCACATGGGCAGAACAGCTGAGAAAGCAGCCTAGACAGGTCCACATCTGGGACAGAACACTTACAGTATAATGCAAGGGGAGCATTCGATACCCCTTCTTTGTGGCTTCTCATTTGGATTTGAATGCATCTGTATATGGACAGATTTTGAATGTTTGCAGCACTTCTGTACATTGTCTAACTACTGTTAAGCAACTGACAATTTATTAATAAACTGTTACCTGACAGCAGTGAAAACATAAAATGTTTGGAATCATTTGCCATATTAATATTTTGTATTATCTGATTCAGTGCATACAGTGTAGATTTCCACAATATAAACAGACACCATTTGTAAATATTTTATTCAGTATTTTAAATGGTTACTGGTTTGGTTTGGTTAATAATTAATATTTTCTAATGATCTGTTTACTGTAATGTTTCATCCGGAGGTGGGTGAAACAATCTAAACCCGTAATGAAGTAAGAGTGTCATTATTTCTGTGAAATAATGGCTCAAATAAAATAAAAGTGCCTTTCTAAAAAAAGTACAACAATAGCAACTCAAAATTTACTGAAAGGGGAATTCCACCAATTTGTCCAAATTTCTGTGTAATTAAATGGTTTACGCAGATGTGAACAAAGTCAATCAGAGTAAAGATGTGAACAAAGTCATTCGGAGAGGTTTGATGTGAAACACTCAGTTCTAGAGTCGGAATTCATAGGAATCAGACATCTGAAGCCTTTAAAGCCTCTAAAAGCTACTATTACACATAAAATGGTTATGAATATGTTGCCTGAGACATTGTTTTATGATAGTTTTACAATAAGGTTTTTGCCTAAAACTTATTATTATTAGTATTATTACTCAATACATTCATGGCTGAGGGGTATATGCAGGCAAAATAGTGCCCAGAGAAAACTTTCTTTTTTAAAAGATTTACCACTATTTTACCTTTACCAGCATTTCATATAAAAACTTGTGTAGGTTCACTGGTCATGTTGGATAATAAATGAAATGTCTATATTTGTGTTGTAGACATTATAACCCCTGTAACCCTGATCACCATCACTGTAAAGGAATCCAGATTTTTCTACAATGCACCATTTCACATCAAACTACTCTGAATGATCACATGCCAATGATTAAACTATTTTGAAAGTTTGAAAAATTGGTGTAATTCTCTTTGAAGTACTGTGCAGTAGAATTTCTGAGTACATCCAGCATTCATCAGCAAAAGATGATTTTGTGCCTCTGCCCTATTCCTCTCTTTCTGGTGTAGTTTTGTCACTAAAGCTTAAAAGTGAGAGATGTGACCAATTGCAAAGCAGTAGTAATGAAATGTTAATGACTGAAGCACAAACACACACACACACACATCATCTAAACCGTTTATCCTTCTGGGTCGCGGTGACTGAAGCATAACTGAGTAAAATATGATAATTGATTACTATACTAACTTTAATACTTGAGTAGAAGTAAAAGTATTTTCATTTGTACAAATCCATCAAAATGAACTTAAGTACATGGGACTGAGTAAATATAGTTAATACCTATCCTTACTATAATATTCATTAATATATCCTTCTTGAGAATTCATCATGACTTTGTTGATACAATGCATTCTACATGCTCATTTTTTATTAATTCAAGTTCATTCTCAATGCTAAATATAGCTTTCTCTGTCATCCTAAAATGTACAGCTCTGTTCATTCTGCCTCTGAGGTTTCAAAGTAATAGAATAATTCATCGTTAGAATGTGTTTTATTGAAAACACTGATTTATTGATCAACATGTTGATAACAGACTTGATGTGACATGATGTGATTGTGAGGTTTGTAAGTTGGAATACAGCATACAGCCTGAGTGTAAATTACACCATGTTATTTCATGTTATATAAATTACACCTTTATTTTAACAAGCTGTGACATATGACTAATTAGACTTCTGAACCTGTGCCAGCAGTGATGTTGCATTATTACATTCAGCCTGGTGTTTAAAGGCACTGCAGCTAAAGCAGCTTCATCTGAGATTCTAAAGCCAAATAAACACAAGCCACTGTAAAAAATCATGCAGCTTTTTAAACTTAAAAAGTAAGTATCTTGAAATGTTGACTTCATTGAGCTTCAAATAATACGTTAACAAATGTATAACATAAATTATTCCTCTGTAAATATTTTAAGTTCAGTGAACTCAAAAGTTCAAGTTAACCAGATTACTTGCTTTTTGTTCAATTTAAAAGCTGCATTTTTTTGCAGTGCAGTTAAAATGTTCTTTTTTCATTTTGACTGTTCAGTTATAGCCACAACATGTCTAGTAATTGGTCCTTACACAAGCCTTTCACCATGCAGACAATCTACTCACACATCTGTTTAAAAAAAATGCATCCAGGATAATGGCCCCTCCTTTGTGGTCACTCTGCAGGAGCAGCACTGGGGACTGATGTCTACTGAGCCATTTCCACCAGCAGTCAGCGGCAGCCCAACAAAGAGCTTACAAGGTGCCCTACTGGTGACCTCCTGCCCGCAAATGCCACTGTCCCAGGTGTGACTCTTTCTCACCTTGAGTCATTTTACATCACAAATACTTAGTTTATGTATATTTAATTCAGTTCAGTTCTTGTACTTGCTGCCTTGTAGATAAGCTACTGCTGCCAGGCAGCTGCATACATGAGCACATACATACTTTTGCTTCTGCAGTTTGAACAGGACATGAACTTCAGCAAAATACACCATCCAAGGACATAGTGCCCTGGAGCCAACATGCCTGAGTTTTATCTTGTCATTAATCAGAGTTTCTTTCATTTATATTAATTAATGACAGCCCCGAGGGGGTGATATTTCACGGCAAATGCTTTAATGTAATCTTTATCAGATCAAGGGCCCTTCTATGTCTTTTACATTTTTGAAATGGAAAAAAAACACCTCCGGTTTAGATCATGAAGCAGTCTGAAATGAAATTATGCCATCTATTAGAGTAAAATGAGGGGCAGCAGGTGATGCTCTTCATTTTTCAGTGATTTAAAGCATATTGTCTGGCACGTCTAAACAGAAAAAGTGCAAAAATGTGGATTTTCAGAGACAGCTCTTGATGGCCTCAGAGGTAAAGGGCCCATATCACACATTTGTATTTTATATTTGTCCCTGAGGGCCACTCATAAAGTTTGTGTGGGATTATTTACCAAAAACAGTTACAATTCCCTTTTACATGACCATTGTCCAACATTTCTCTAGGTCAGGGGTGCCCAGTCCTGGTCCTGATCTAGCTCCAACTATAGTCTATCACACCTGATCCAGGTAATGAAGACCTTCAGGGGCATCTGAATAATAGAGCCAGGTGTGATGGATCTTAGCTCTCCTGGATGGTAGATCCTCCAAAACCAGGATTGGGCACCCCTTCTTTAGCCTTTAGAATTTATACAGTTTTTGTTCATTTGTCTTTAAGAGTGATGTATGTAAATGACCTTTGTTCTGATTGGCCTGGTTCAAAAAGCAGTCTGGGCTGAAACACCCTTTATAACTTCAGTGTGAGTGGGCAAGGCTAAACAGCTGTAGGCAGCCTAGGCAGATTATATGTAAATGCATTGGTTTTAACAATGAGCTCAAAAAAGCATTTATGGCAACTTAGTTTGTTTAAATATGGACTGTTTGGACTGATGACTTAACAGTATATTTTAGAGCATCATCATAAGGTGAATTCAGCCCTTTAACAGTGAAATCCTTGCTGAACGTTGTTATTGCTGCTGGGGAAAAAAACTGTCATACAATTCTTATATCAGCATGTCCTTATTATAATACACATATGATTTAATAATATGGTATTTAATATAATTCTTTGTTATATTGTGTGTTATATTATGTGAGGTATTTTTGTTTTTTCTCCCATTTCTAGTGTCCAAAACCCAGCATTGCAGAAGGCTCTGTCAGCAGCTCTCAGAGAGACAGTATCCCCTACATGCTAAAGAATGGTGCTGCAGAGCGCTTCCGCAGACACAGTGTGGATGGGAGCTCTTTGGTTCAGGAGCATGACTCCGGCAAAGACAAGCGCTTTCACCCATACAGCAGGCAGTACAGCGATGGAGCAGCTGCCGGAGCTGGAGCAGCCTACTGCTGTCTCAGAGAGTGCCAACTGCCTGATTCACTCACTCCAGTCCTCAACAGCACCATGGAGGAAGAAGAGCAGAATGCCTGGACTCCCTTCAGCACCACTGTGCAGCCGTCCTTGTTTATGGTAAGAGATAACTTGGGGATAAAATGACTAGATTTTTATTCTGCATGATTTCATAGAAAAACACAGGTATGAACTTTAAGTATGATTGTTCTTTGGTTTGGTTAGTAGAGAACATTAAAACTTTGTCAGAAAATAAGAGTAAGATAGGAATGTGTAGCATCTCACCATTCACTTTATAAGAAACACATAATTTTTACTTCCACTCACTGGCCATTTTATTAAAAATGCCAACCTTGTACTTGAACATTTTATGAGGCCCACCTGTCTTATAGGTCTACTATGTAGGTGAGTATCATATCTACTGTACAGGGGGAGCACATCAACCAGGCCCATAATTGTTTATTGGGCCCCTTTATATAGATACACACACACACTTGTACGCCTATAACTCACAGAAAAAGTAATTTTCTTAAGAACATACTGCATACTTAAATCATTCCATGAGAGCATCAAGTTGTCTGAGGCATAACAACAGTGAGTAAATAACATTTTTTTCTTAATTTAAAATAATATTTGTATTGGGGGAGGCCATTTTTTTTTTTTTGCACTGGGGCCCATAAGATCCTAGTTATGCCCCCCAGGTGTTTGCACTTTGTACCCCATTCTTCACTGGTCAGTTTCTGACCACAGGATGACTATTGACCAGCTATTACATGGGTAGTCCTAATTCTCAACACAGCAGTGACAGTGATATGGTGGTGGTCATGGTAGCGTGTGTGGAGTTGGCATGAGTGTTATTAGGCACAGCTGGGGTTTTTACACATGCCAGTGGCAGTGCTGGGTTGAAAGTAGCCCACCACCCAAAAAAAACAGGTGGGTCTGTCTTCAGACACTGATAATTTGTGAAGGTCTAGACTTTAGAGGCTGGCTAACACAAATTATCAAATTATGCACCAACGGTGGGGCTATAGCCCCAGACTGTATACTAGCAACTCACCAATGGGTAGGCATTTCTAATAAAATGTCCATTGAGCTTATACAAAAAGGACTGACCAGAAAGACTCATGAGGATTCTCGTGCATTATTGCAGCTTCACATTAGTGGCTAGGAGCTAGAGGTACTACAGTACAGGAACATTAGACAGATGTGGTTGCAGATGTTTCACCACTACAGTGCAATATCAATGTAAGTGAAGTCTGATATATTTTTGCTATTGTTCATCTGGTCTGTATTTGGAGCAGGGGGCAGAACAGAGTCCTGCTGACATGCAAACCATGCCTGAGGAGCCACCCAGTTATTCATCATCTACCCACAGCACATACAGCACCCTCCAACAACCGGTAAACTGGGTGCAAGGGTGTGTGTGTGTGTGTGTATGTTTCATGCAATAAGAGAGACTACAACCACATAAAGACCCTTTCTGTTTTCTACAAGTACATTTGGCCTGTTCTCACCTTTTTGATTCACAGCTTTCATAGTGCATTCTGTTTACTGTGTAAAGTCAATATCAGTCTCCCAGCTGAACTCTTAACATGTGTCAACAAGGAAGAAATGCCTCTAATGATAACACATAGGGATATTTTGGAACTGTTTCATACTTGCAATCAAAACATTGGCAGGATATGCTCCTACATCTTCACAGTGTCAAACTACAAAGGCCAGTACAAGACAGCTCAACAAGTGTACAGTGTCTTAGGAAAAAAAAGTACGGTTTTCTTCTGGGGATTATCACGAATATCACAGGATTCGGTTCAGTGATATGCGCAGGAATTACAATATATCACTTGCTTTGAAAGTCTAGTGTAATTAACTAAAGATCATTCCACCAAGAACCGATCCTCATAATGTTTGGGATTTTCTTGATTCTCTCCAGTTTTCAGGCGAATACTCATCTGGAGGACTAGTGGGCAATTCACACTTCTCTTACCAAAACTTCTCTTCACAAACCAGTCAGGAGGGTCCAGTCCAGCCCCTCTACCCCAAACCCATCTACTCCTATAGGTAAGCTCAGTTGCCTCTGGCCTTCTTCACCCACTGCTTCAACACACCTGCCCTGAATGAATCATTCCCTGAGGCATGCAGGTGTGTGAAGAACTGTCTATGTTCTCAGTTTATACAATCAGAGCTTCAATTTTTCTTAGTAGTGCAGATATTTCCATTAACTGTCCCAGTGGAAGATAGTTTCAGTTAGTAGTGATTTCAAGCTGTTAAATATAGAATTTGTTAATAATTTGGGACTAAATTTAATCACTTGTGACTATAACAGTCATGATGTCAATGAGTAAGAGCAGTCCTAACAAGGCCCTCTTACCTCAGTACCACAGCAACTACTGAATAAATATCTTTAAATTCAGAAGTAAAATATATCACAGTTATTATTAATTTATTGTCTATTATATCCAGGCCAGAAAACTGAATCTGCAAACTGTGGTTTTTAAGTATTAGAGATTAGGATTAGAAATGAAGTTAATTTAACTACACTTTGTAGTTAGAATACAATCTAAATGTAAAATGTATATTAATTGTAAATTGTAAAATAAATATTTACGTTCATCATTGTCCACTGAATTCTGATCACCAGCGAAATTAGTCAAGAATTTTTGTACTTAGTTTATCTGCTTAAGCCTATATCATCATTCTAAACTGTTTCAAAAAATGATTTCCCCAAATTCCATTTATTACACTTACACTACATTTTTATAATAAAACATTACACTACAAAAATGTTAACATGTTTTTAAATAAAAACTTTTTTTATAGTACAAGGAACACATGCAATTTGGGGATATCTTTTTTTAAGCAATCATTCAGTCTAGATCCAAAGAGCTGCTCACAGTGTGGCCTATGACCAAGTTGGCCCATGAAGATGTTTGATTTGGCAGGCCTGAAAGTTACCTTAAACCCACTCCCTCACCCAATGAGAGACCAAACATGTTTTTATACTATACAGTACTGTGCAAAAGTCAGAGACCCCCCTTTCATTTACTTCATTTCCAGTCAAAACAACCATTAAGTACAAGTTAAAAAGGTTATATACGAAAGAATATTTAACAGAAGCCTTAACAACTAAATATAATATTAAAATTTTAATGAGTATTTATTGAGCCCACGTTTTGCCTTTAGTACAGCTTCCATTTCGTTCGAGAGACTTGGTGACAATTTTGGTGGTCTGCCAGGTCTTGCACGGTTGTTAGGAGTCCCATTTTCTCTATAGCTTGTAGAAATTTTTTGAATCCCAGTTTTATTCACTTATTTTTCCATGGGTTTTCCCAAAGTGGAATATAATGTAAAAATGATTCAATGTTTAACTTCAAAAAAGTAAGTAACCTAGTTCTTCAAATTTTGAGTTCATTGAACTTCAAATAACAGAATGTGAAACATTCAGTGAACTTACTGGTTACTTACTTTTTAACATTTTTTTACAGTGTATCTTACATATAATGCCTTCAGAATGACCTGAAAAATAAACTTGCACTTGGCCGTTTGACTGGAAATGAAATAAATGAAGAGTGATCTCTGACTTTTTTTGCTCATGACTGTATGTAACATATGAAAATCTGTATTGTTAAAGTTTTTGAGTAGCAAAATATTAATGTTATAAAATACATAAAAACCCCATCAACGCCTACCTTCTTTATTTGTGTACTGTTTTGTCTTTTTGGCACTTTTTTGGGCACCCCTGGTCTAGAGTGATCTTTGTAGTGTAAAGAACACATAAGGTTTACAGAGCTCACTGGATGCCGTTGCGCATACAACACATTTAGTCAATTATGACAGCGAATTACATTCCTTATGTTTGCTTTGGTGGCTTGTAAAATCTCACTGCCGCATGTTATATGATGAAAAAAAGCAACTTTAAATATAAATCAATCATCAATTGGCAGTATAAATGTTTTTCCTTTCCTTGTATTTCTGCAGCATTCTCATTTTCATGGCTCTGAGGAACAGCAGGACTGGCAGTCTGCCAGTGAGTGAAATCTACAGCTTCATGACGGAACATTTTCCCTACTTCAAGGTACTCTAATAGGCCTCATTTTATTTTATGTGTTGTGGTACTCCTGTGCACTACTTGTTCCCACCAAATAAAGAATATGTCTTTACTGTTCTAAGTGCTTTACTAGTGATCTTGCAGAAGTTTGAACTAATCCACATGGAAAAATTTCTTTAGGAAAAAAAATATAGTAAGTGCTACCGGATGGTTCTTGTATCCACTGCATGTTCATAGGAGCATTATGCTGGCAAAGCCCTATTCATGATCAATGACATGGAATCACTAGTACAAATAGCGCTCTGTGCTGGATTTCCTTCTGGCTATGCCCGTTATAGCTTGATCTTTGTGCCTTCATCTGCCGACTTGGTCCTGCTCCCAGGTAGGCTTAACCAGCAAAGGGATTTACAACGTGGCAATATTTTGGTTCGCTTCCAGACAAACACTGGTGCGGAGCCAAATGAGTTACGCGGATCTTAGCGTGCACAAGTGATGAGGGTGTAGGATGGGTAAGGTTGAGGTTAATACATGCCAAAAGTTGTACATGTAGTGGTTGTACATGTAAGACAATGAGTGGCTTTGTTTATTTTCAGGTTTATTTAGGTTACAAAATTCAACATAAATCTGTTGTGTGAAATCTATCCTCATGTCGAACCCTGTTCCTATGAGATCCAATGTCTTATTTACAGTATAACAGTAGACATATTGTATCTATAGCTTTGTGCTCTCGTCCCTTAAACTGATCAGCTGAATTGGGTAATGATAGTGCCATTCATTATGTTACTGATCACTTGCCAGGAATCTATCACAAATAGAGCTCCAGGCAACAGAGCACTTCTTCATTAAAGCAAAGGTGAAATTCCTTGTATATTATGCCAGCACAAGACGACGATCATCTTGGGATCATTTTCAGTTTTGACACTCTGAACCCTGATTTACCCTGAAACTACTGCAATTTCAGTCACTGTATAGAAGAAGGTAAAATGTTCATGAAAATAGAAATGTTCATGTTGCTTGTGAACTTCATATCTGCACCGTCCTCTTCTTTAGGGAGCTGTTCTGTTTCCTAACTACTATAAATCTGTTACCTATTCCTCAGTGTTAATCTACTCAAATGCTGCAGCTAGATTCCATCTTTGAATACCTTAGCCATTTGTCTTTGCTTGTCAGTGGGTCTAACGTAAAAGAAGGAGAAAAACGTCACATATATTGAAAATAATGCACACATTATTTGGATAAGAGGATGTATACATGCCATCTGTCTCTGAAATCGAAGTAATTTTGGAGTATTTCCACTGATCCATTCATTATGAAATGCTCACACAATGTAAATGCAGCTGGTATTTTCAAATACTTTTCTCTACCATTAATAAACTTCTTAATTAAACCACCCCCACCCTTATCTGCACTGTAGACCAAGTCCTTCATAGATTTTCACACATAAAATTAGTAAAATCTACCAACAGTTCCTCTCAACCTCCTCATCATCTGTCCATAGTAGTGAAGTCAAGTCAAAGTTTATTTATATAGCGCTTTTTACAACAGGTGTTGTCACAAAGCAGCTTTACAGAAAAATCCGGGTCCGAGCCCTCATGAGCAAGCCAGTGGCGACATCTTAACTCAGCTGTCTGTTTTTTTCTCTTGTTGAACGTACTCTCATTTCTGAATTAATCTCCAAATCTAGTGCGTCTACATGTCGGTTTGATCCTGCCCCCACTCACTTCTTAAAAAGTGTCTCTCAGTCATCTCTGACCCTGTCTGTCATTTCATTAACACATCTTTTGCTTCAGGTTATGTCCCTACCGCCCTTAAAACCTCTGCTATCACTCCGATTTGAAAAACCTACCCTGGATACAGCCTCCCTTGAACACTATTGCTCAATTTCTAATGTGCCCTTTTTAGCCAAGCTGTTAGAAATTGTTGTAGCATCTCAATTGCAGTCTTTTTTTGATAAATAATGATCTTTTTAAACCTTTCCAATCTGGCTTTTGTACAATGCATAGCACTGAGACAGCACTTTTACAAGTTCTTAATGATCTCCTCCTGTCTACTGATTCCAGTGCTATCAATATTCTGCCCCTCTTAGATCTAAGTGCTGCATTTGACACCATTGATCTTGACATACTCATCTCCCGCATTTCAGCTATTGGCATTACTGACACTGCCCTCACCTGGTTCAGATCCTATATCACTAATAGACTTCTCTTTGTTGCCCTCAGTAGGCGTAACTCTGCTATCAGTGCTGTTACACAAGGTGTCCCACAGGGATCAGTTCTTGGCCCTCTGCTCTTCATCATCTATATTGTGCCCCTCAGTCAGATTATCCACTGTCATGGACTTCATTTTCACTGTTGCCACCACTAGTCTGCCACCCCATGCCCTAATATCTTGTATTCAAGACCTCAGACAATTGATGCAGAGTAACTTGCTAAAACTAAACACTGATAAAACTGAAATTCTACTCATTGGCCATAAATCTGTTATTGCAAATTCCAACTTAGTTTGGATGGTGTGACTGTAAGACCTTCAAATGTAGTCCATAACCTAGGCGTACTATTTGATCCTGTCCTTTCTTTTGAACTTTATATTAGGGCTTTGGTCAAAACAGCTTTTTTTCAATCTCCACAATATTGCTCGTCTTCGGCCCTGGCTCTCTGTGAAAGACATTGAATCTCAGGTCAAGTCTAGTCAAAGTTTATTTATATAGCACTTTTTACAACAGGCATTGTCAAAGGGCAGTTTTACAGAAAAATCTGGGTCCAAGCCCCCATGAGCAAGCCAATGGCGACAGTGGCATAGAAAAACTCCCTAAGAGCAAGAGGAAGCAACCTTGAGAGGAAGACTCAAAAGGGGAACCCATCCTCCTCTGGTCAACACCGGATAGCAAAACACTAACAGAAGATTAGTATAAGATACGGAAAAGGGGAAAAGCAGGAGAAGCAATGGCTATGATTAAATAGTTCAAGTCTGTGCAAGCAGCAGTACCATGAGGAGGATCAGTGGCATGCAGACGAGTCTCTGGTCTAGGCTTTCATATCATCCTGCTTAGACTACTGCAACTCCTTTCTCATTGATGTCCCTTACAAAACTATCGGCCCTCTTCAGTATTTACAAAACCTAGCTGCTAAAATACTCCCACTCAAAAAAAACAGCTTAATAACCTCAGTCCTATGTCAGTTACACTAGTTACCTGTCCCACTTCATATCTAGTTTAAAGTCTTCCTTCTAACTTATAAAACTCTACATTGTCTAGCCCCAGCCAATTTATCCAATCTCCTGCACCCTGCCCTGCCCCAACACTTAGGTCCTCTAGGTCGTCTAGCTGTCCCACACTATGGAGCTGTCCCAGATCTTCAGTGTCTTGGCTCCCAAACTATGGAACACATTATACACCTCCAGTCAAAAAAGTGAACAAGTTAATACATCCTCTACAGAGAACAAAGCTTTTCTTTAAATATGGCATTGTTCCAAACATTTTAGTGCACAACTTCTGTTTATTTGCTGAGTTTAACATATTGGAAAATAATAAAACAAAATATATCATGTGCCATAACTTTTGCACAGGCTGCATGTTAAATCCGAACCGAAATATTTGCGTACAGGTGGTGGTATATTTTTCTACTATATGGATATTTTACTTAGTCTCAGTTTTTCTTCCTGGTTGACCAGACAGCACCTGATGGTTGGAAGAACTCTGTCCGCCACAACCTCTCCCTCAACAAATGCTTTGAGAAAGTGGAGAATAAGAATGGGAGCTCCTCTCGTAAGGGCTGCCTGTGGGCCCTCAACCCTGCCAAGGTGGAGAAAATGCAGGAGGAGCTGCATAAGTGGAGGAGGAAAGACCCAGTGACGGTGCGCAGGAGCATGGCCAGACCAGGTGGGCAGAGAACTGAACTGCTGAATAACCTGAAGTGAAATTACTCTTAGAGCATCAGTGTACGGTACTGTTTGGAAAAGTTTGGAATCATTGTCAAATTAGTTATACAACATATTTTCAAGTATTTTGGGAACAAAAAATGAAATGATAATAAACACATTGTATTTCACACACACACACAAACACACACACATTTTCTAAGTCACTTATCCTCTTGGATCATTGAGGCGGAAGGCGGGAAACACCCTGGATAGGTCTACATTGTAATTGTCTATTTAATTTTTTTTGTAGATTCTCTACTTTATCTCTATGCAACCAAATTGGTTTAACATTTTTGAAAACATTGATTCCAAACTTCCAAAACAGAAGTGGTGTACTGTACGTAAAATTATTTAAAATGTGATTATTTTCATTTTATTCATTTACTAGAAATAGGAAATACAGGATCTATAAAAAAAATCAAGTCAAATTACAGCTTTCTCAGAGAAAAAAATGCTGTTCAGCCATACCTGGCCGTGTGTAAAAAAATACTTGGCCCCTCAGTTACTAAATCAACCAGTTAATCAAATTCAAATGACTATTGGGTTCAATTTGACTAGTCATAGCCAGGCATAATTACTGCCAGGTCTGTTAAATCTAAGCATTACTTGAATAGAACCTGTCTGGCAATGTGAAGCAGGCTAAAAGGTCTCAAAAAGCAGCACATGATGCCTGGAAAGAGTTACAAAGCCATTTACAAAACCATTCTAAGGCTCTGGGACTCCAGCAAACCACAGTGGCAGCCATTTTCCACAAATGTAGAAAACTTGGAACAGTGGTGAACCTTCCCAGGAGTGGCCAGCCTCACAGAATTTCACCAGGAGCGCATCAATGATTCATTCAGGGGGTAACAAAAGAACTCAGATGAACATCTGAAGAACTACAGGCCTCATCTGCTGAGGTCTCAGTTAAGGTCAATGTACGTATTTTCACAATAAGAAAGACACTGGGCAAAAATAGCATCCATGGGAGAGCTGAAAGGCACAAACCACTGCCGACCAAAAAGAACACAAAGGCTTATCTCACATTTGCCAAGACATATCTAGATGACCCCCAAAACGTTTGGGATAATATTCTGTGGACTGATGAGTCAAAGGTGGAATTTTTTGGAAGACATGGGTCCCGTTACATTTGGCTAACACCACATTCCACCATAAGAACATCATACCAACAGTCAAACATGGTGGTGGTAGTGTGATGGTCTGGAGCTGCTTTGCTTCAGCAGGACCTGGATGACCTGTAATAACTGATGGAACCATGAATTCTGCTCTCTATCAGAAAATCCTGAAGGAGAATGTCCACCCGTAGTTCATGACCTAAATCTCAAGCACAATGATCTGAAGAACATGCGCAAATCCACCTCTGAATGGCTCAAAAGAAACAAATTTAAGGTTTTGGAGTGGCCGAGTCAAAGTCCTGACTTTAATCCCATTGAGATGCTGTAGCTGAATTAAAACAATTCTGCAAAGAAAAATGAGCCAAAATTACTTCACAGCAATGTTAAAGACTCATCGCAAGTTATTGCAAATGTTTGATTGCAGTTGTTACTACACAACAGTTGTTGCGGCATAACTAGTTATAAGTTTTGGGGGGGGGGTTACTTTTTCACATAGATGACATAGGTTTTGAATAAATCTTTATCTTCAATAAATGGAATGACCATTTAAAAGCTGCATTTTGTGTTCACTCATGTTGTCTTTATCTTAAATTAAATTTAGTCGGATGATCTATCTATCTATCTATCTATCTATCTATCTATATATATATATGTATATATATATATATATATATATATATATATATATATATATATATATATATATGTATATGTGTGTGTGTGTGTGTGTGTGTGTGTGTGTGTGTGTGTAAGGAAAAAAAATCTGAACCCACTGATGAGTCATTATGTTTTAGGGAGTCAAAATGAATCATGGTTTGCTTCTCTTTCTCACAGAGGAGCTAGATCACCTTCTTGGGGAAAGACCAGAGAAACTGAAGTCTCTCTCTACTCACCTCAATAACCACACATACCCTCAGTTCTCAAGAGTCAGCATGCCACCCTCCTACAGTTCCAGGACCCCCCTTAGGCGACCCCACTACAGTCACTATGGTTTACCTTCACAAACTCTCTCCCAGCAGCACCCCTACCTGCCCTCCAACCCCCAAGCCTTCTCCTTCTACCCCTCTATCACTCAGCAGCCCAGCACAAGGCTGCCCCCCAGAACAGGCAGCCTGGACTCTCCTTTACCCGCCCACACCCCACCCAGCTACAGCTCTGCCCTGCAGGCCAGCCACAGTGCTGCAGGGAGCATGCAGGAGCTGCTGATGGATGGAGAACTGAGCAATGACATCGACACACTCAACCCCAGTCTAACAGACCTGCAGCTCCAGGGTGAGAACACAGAGAATTTCTGTCTTGCTATGCTTAGTTATTTATACAAAAGAAATGTAATTATGAAATAACTGAGGTTTGAGAGAACTATCTTTCAATCTAACATGCTGTAAATCTCCATTTCTGCCTTCTGTTTCCTGTGACAAAGTTTTTACACCCCACCATCCCCATCTTCTCCCAGCTTGTTAATCCTCTCAGTCCTTCCTCTGTTCATCAAAGGGGGTCTGGCCTTTTAGCCTACAGTAGAAGCTGCCTAGAACTCCAACCCAAGTTTTCAGAGTTCTCTGCCCTCCTACAACTCTTCTCATACTATAACTATATCTTGAAGGTGTGGTCCAAACCAGCAAGTTAGGAGGTTAAAGGCATGAAGATGTATCCAGATTGAGTCAACTTTATTGTTTCGAATTTTTATTGACGTGAATCATTTTCCCCCTGAAAGCTAATCAATAAATAAGCTTTTCCAATGTGTAATATTTACATATTTCATTCAACTACAGTCAATACAGTTACATTTTATTGTTGAAGGGTTGGTACTATGAAAAATAGACTTCCTTATTTTAAATACATTTTCAGATTTTCTTATTTATGTTAAGTTGTCCCTGTAGACAGAGTGATGGGGACAGAGGAGTGAGGCCCTCATCATTTATCAATGATTTTTTTTGCCAGAGGCATATTACAGGTGTACAGTGCCAGATGGCATGCATACATATAAATATTTTAATCATAATTAAAGGATAAGTTAAATGTCTTCTTGCTCTGTGCATTACCTTGTATTGTATAAGATGCAGACAGATGCTTTTAGTCATGTATAGGGTAATTTTGCAATTTTGTGTTTATTATTTAGTCAAAAGTCAGGGTTGTTCCAAACAGGCAGGCGTTATATCTGTGTATCTTTCTATTAAAGCGTCTTTTGATTGGGTTTGTAGCCTACGGTGCAGTTTTGTCTTCTCACTGTTTGCTCTGACTCTCTGCAGGACATCTCTGGGAGGAGCTGAGAAATGACAGCTTGGCTCCGGACTCTCTGGTAGTCATGGACACGTCCACCTCCCCTGGCCAGATCAGCCCCAACCAGGCTGGGGATTGTGTTGAGAGTTGTGGCTCAGGCAGTGGTGAAGTGAGCACAACTGGGTCAGAAACACGGCTGCAGGCCACTGGACTCTACACATCCAGCTTCAGCAGTGCAGACAGCATGGCAGGCCTTCATTCCACCTCAGTAAACACTCCAATTCCACTGTTATGAAGAGGTGCTACTTTCATCAGAGGACTCTACCATATCCTCTGCTCAACTTCCTAACCTGGATCTACAGTTAGTATCTAAATTCCTAATGAACATATGTGAACTAGTAAAACACTGGATGAAATAAGGTGCTTGATTTAAAACCTTGATTTTTTTTTTTGATAATTTTACACATTTTTAAAATTTTAGACTTAGGCAATGCAATGTTTTTACAAGCTTTATGTGTCATTACTTCAGTCTGCCATTGAAAATGCTGCATAATCTCATATAAGGTTTAGATGCCCCAATCAGAGGATGTTTACATCCAATTACTAACACTGACTTCGGAATCTGCAAGAAAAGAACTACCATTTTACTCCACAGGGGAGCAGTAAAGCACTTCTCTGACATGGAATCAGTGCCAATTCAGCCAAAGAGGCACAACATGTACCAACACAGCTTATGTCAACAACACTGAAGTGGTCTGTGGGTTCCCATGATATATTATGATGGTAGATGCCCTTGGGATATCACTGAAGGAAATGGTCCAGTTTTTTTAAAGGGGAATTACATGTGTACAATGACTAAAAAGCTAATCCACAGCAATTAATCGGCGCACCTTGGAAATGTATATTAGGGCTGAATGTAAATTAAACGTTGTTGGTGCTTGCACTTTTCTTTGATCATTTCCAACTCTTCAGGGTACAAGAAAACATATTTATAAGGAAAAACATTTATTTCAAGAATGTAGACTGAAATTGACAATATTGATAAACATGTAATAATCACTATTATGTATAGACTACATAATGTTCAATATAGTTATCTCTCTAACATGGTTTTGACCAGCACGGCTATTAAAAATATACTTCAGACAAAGGTTTTTATATGAATATAAATAATCACAAGTTTGCAATCAAAAATCAATCAAACCATGAATATGTTAAGTAAAAAAGTGTCTAACGGCAGAGGGTTAAACTCTGCATCCTGCGTCAGCAAGGTACTTCTGCTTCTTGTAATGTGCATATAGAGAGCTCATTCTTTTGGACCCCAAAACAGAAGTACAGTAAAATATCTCTTGAAATCTTAATAACTGGTACCTCTTTGACTTTTGCACAGTACTATATCCATACAGTGGCAAACAAAAGTCTGAGACCACATTAAGAATCTGTTTTTTCCCCATTTAAACCTGGAAATGAACACCAGAAATTTTTTAAATCTTGAATATATTTAAAACAAAGAGAAGTCTACAATTAAAATGAAGACAAATTACTTGAAAATAGCACTATTTCTAGGTCACTATCTAAACTGAAGCAAATTTGACCATGTTTACCATGTTAAGACCTTTGTGCGAAAGGTCAGAATTTTTAAAATTCTTATTTCTTCCATTGAAACATACATTCATACGACTCTCAGGTGGATTTGATCTACTTAGCAGAGGCTTTTGCACAAACCTATGGAGCCCATGCTAGCTTGAGCGCACGCTGTCATTAAGGCAAAAGGGGAAAACATACCAAATACTATTATTCTCACGATATTATTTGTTGGGAAAATACTGTATTAAATTGGAAAGGAATGCAAAATATAAGCATTTTCACTAGTTGACTTTTGGACCCCACTGTGTTCACAGTCCATATGTATATATCTTCTGATTGTGTGGATGCTAAAGGAATAAACTCTCTATATCCAAAAAACCAGAGCAAAACCAAAAAAAAAAAACAATTCTTATTGTGTCATGCAGAATATTAATGCACATGAATGCAGGCACGCCTATACACTCACATACATAAACACAGAGACACACACTATGTTGTTGGCAATAATTAAAAAAAAATCTAGGACTATCTCACATGCTGTGTGCTTAGTAGGGGCCAATTTTTTTCTCTGGCTCTGGCACACATACATGCGCTCATCCATACACACAAACCCTGAGCTTGGGTGTTTTTCACCAAAAGAAAAAGCATTCCCAGACTGGATTAGGGGCCTATTCTCAGTCTGCGCTAATGCTTTACTCCCCAGCCTGTGACGTATCTGTCCATGTTTCTGAGCATGCTCAGGAAGGAGAGATCCTATGGTCCACCAGTGTAAGAGTAATCTGCCTTATTGTGCATCACCAACTTGTTGTCCACAAAGTAGAAGCTGTCAGACTGAGTCTCGTATGGGTGCAGGATCATCTCGTGTACTGTGGAGTAACGTTAGAAAAATATCAGCTTGGCAGCCACATTGCTCAGCAATACAAATACATTTTGACAACATGTACAACTTTGGCTTTAACATGCCTGTCATATGCCAGTTTGTGCTGTTAATCCTTTTTAAAATTCATAGATTTCTGCAGGTAACTTCTATTTGGACCAAGACCATGCATATGCAGTCATTTCTTATTGTTACTCATGTGTCCAACATCTAAAAGCTGTTAATTTTTGAATTCTGATCTGAATATATGCTTGTGTTTGTTCAGAAACTGCTGCACTGCATCGAACAACGACTGAATAGAGAGCGTTATGTGACTTGGGCAATGGCTGCTTCTTTGTGACACATTTGATGCGTTACTTTAATTAACATAATGTCCTTTGTGTTAGAGTGCAGGGTTTAAATTAAATCAAATTAAATTAAAGACTGCTCTTAAAGAATGGACACTGGCGTCTAGACCATCATGAAGCCTGCACGAAGTGGGCTACTCTTTCTTCTCAATTTATTGTAACCCTGCTACAAGGCTTATGAGGAACCAAGTTTACAACTGTTACATTACTATTTCAGAACACTTTTATATGTATATATATATATATATATATATATATATATATATATATATATATATAATATAAACAAGCAAACCAAAAAGACTAAACTATCAGTCTGAGTTGGATTTCTGTTATGAGATGTTCAAACATCTTTCTAAGCCTATAAGTAGATGTAAGTGCTGCCAAACAGTCTACGGGATAAAACAGGAAAAAGGAAACAAATCTGGTGTGAGTTGATTCTATATTTAGCCAGGATAAGCAGGACTAATGAGGGTAGCTGAAAGGGCACTTACTGAGGTCCTCGGAGAGGGGAGGGAACTCATAGATGTGCTCGCAGGTATTCTTGCTGCTGGGGATGCAGAAGCCAAACTCAAAGTCAAAGCTCTTCAGCAACTGCCCCCGGAAGTAGTGCCTCTCGATCATGCGGAAGTTGTTGATTGGAATGTCTCCTACTGTGAACTCCACACTGCAGAGGCAGGAAACACAGCACTCTCAGGTACATGCAAGTGGTCCAAAGTCTAGAGGGGCCTAAGACCTCTCACTTGGGAGCCAGGCCACCGCAGATTACTTACAATACAGGATGAAACCCAGTGCAATGGGTTCTGACATGTTTGTGCCTTTATTTCAATTTCAAACAAACTAAAGGAACTGCTAAGAGAAACAGAACAATAAAGTAGGCTAGCTGGCCAGCTGGTGGTTGTCAATTTCACTACAGTAATGTCACTAGGACATAATGCTTCCCAGCCGGCATAGATTTTTTTATTTTTTTTTGGTCAAATCTGATGTTTCTGCTGTGACGCAAGTAATCAGTTAGGATGAATTTGGTGAATAACCTGACCATGGCTTATGGTTTACATCATTGAAGCCTACGCCCCATACATTTGTCTTTTTCTGAGTCATTGATATAATTTCATGAATAGCCAAAACAGCAAATGGAATGCCCTGACTACATAATAATATGCCTAATATAAATATACATAATACATGGCCCTAAGTGGGATAGGATATAAACTGCTCGATTAACCTGAGCAGTTTATATCCTATATAATGTTGTATAAGCATATGCTTTTGGCTTTGCCTTCTTTATTTCAGTGGCTACCTGCATACTGCTACCTTAAGACATTAAACAGTAGCGTTCAACTGAATTTTTAGCAATGATTATGTTGCTGCGTTGACAAAATCACATTAAATGAGCTGAAAAGTAAAAATGATTCAATACAAATTTTGCTTGTTGGGAAATTCTCTCTAGATCTATGCATTTACTCAAGATGTAATCAGACTGAATGTATTGCAGAAGCCTGGTACACTGCAGGTTGAAAACGGGGTCGTCTAGAGTCAGAGTGTTCTGATTGTAATCTACTGTGCTGTGTACTTACGTGGCTCCGACCTTGCGTAGCCGCAGGAAGGCGGGAGTGAACTGGTAGCGCACAAAACGTCCGGCGTTGGGGTCAATGTCCTTTCTGTCCTCTGCACTGTCTGTGTGGCATAAAGGGAGAGACATTACAGCCTGAAGTGCTCTTATAAAGCACACTGTATCTAAATGGAAATGGCCTTTGTGGAAAGACAGCAGCGCAAGCATTTCACAGCGACTAATGTCTAGTCACTGGTACAATGAGTCAAACACAGGCAGCCTGAGGAGGTGGAGGTCATAGTAAAGACTCACCTGCAGAAGGAGGCTTGGTGATCTCAAAAAGAACCGTCCCTGTCTCCATATCTCTGATTTTGAACCTAGTAAAGTCGATCTTGTGCACATTGTCTTCTGGGCTGCACAGGTAATCTATGGAAGTGAAAGCCGATAGCAAGAAAAGGAAATGAGTGGTCTAATGGCTTGTATTTGTTGGAAAAATATGAAACATTACTGGCCATGACTATAAATTAGGGATGACATGATCAGTTGTGATGAAATACTGTGGTATAAAACACAATGACAATGATTTTAAAATTTCAGTAAAGCTGACAACCATGTACAACTGCCATCTTTTAAAAAAGTGACGGCAGAAGTAAACAGCCTTTGGCTACTGCCTTACTGTAAAGCACATGGCAGGACAACACAGTTTTACATGGTTAGAATCTGAACAGTACACAGTAGTAGTGCTGGTAATCACCCTGATCACATTATGTTTTGTTGATTTTCTAAGTGAAAATAAGTTAACACATCCTCTACAGAGAACACACAACTGCACATTTTAATGTACAATTATAGTTTATTTGCAAAATGTAATATTCTGGGAAAAAATGAACAAAACTGTGGCCTGTACAAAAGTTATGGTACATTTTATATGTATTATTTTTTCCAATATGTGAAACTCATCAAACCAAGAAAAATTGTGCAATGAAATTAGCAGAAAAATGTCATATTTATGTAGAGAATGAACTAACCTATTTTCACTAAGAAAAGTAACAAAACATGTAATTTGACAGAGGTGTTCAAACTTCTACATAAGACTGTATTTAAATTGTAGTTGATTTTTGTTGTCTTATAAGGAAATGCAAGCAGTTCAATAAAACATCTAGCGCTATACTTTCTGGTGAAATGATTTCAATGTGCAGTTGTGCATTTTAAATATTTTCATTATACATCAACATCACAATAATACAAAAAGTCATAACAGTTTTGATTACTCATATTATCATAGAAACTTTTTACACCACCACATCGACAGTAGAAATCCAGAGATTCCCAAAAATTCAGAGATTAGTTCATTTTGAATGTCATTTGTGTATGTTGTGGATGTGCCTTTGAGAGGTGAACTGCTAAGAGCCTGTGTCTTCTGTGAGTGACTGCAGAGACAAAAAGGTCTATTCCTGCACTTCACTAATCTGTGTGTGGAGGTGACAGTGACAATGACCACACACCTCTCTGATTACATTAACTGTTCTTCACTCTGGCAACATGAGCTGTTTCCTCTCAACATCAGACGTCTGAACCAAAGTGAGTGCAATCAGATACAACATTTTCACATTTAGTAGTGAGAACCAGGTGTGTATATAATATTATAATGTATATATATTATAATAATTTGGAATATACTGCCATCAACTGATTGGTTGATTTTCTAAATGAAAAAAGTTAACACATCCTCTACAGAGAACACACTTAAATGCGACACTTTTTTTACGTTTAGTAGTGAGAACCAGGTGGGCATTTTGAAGAGAGGGGTCGACAAAATACAACATGTATTTATATTAATAAATATATTTACACACTCATACATACACACATACATATATATAAAATTGCATTTATACTTTGGAATATACTGACATCAACTGATTTGTTGATTTTCTAAATGAAAATAAGTTAACACATCCTCTACAGGGAACACACTTAAATGTGACAATTTTCTGCAAATATTTGTGCAGTTTTCACACTATTTTTTGAGGAGTTTAACATATTGGACATTGTGTGTGTGTTTTATTTTTTCGAATATGCTAAATTCAGCAAATAAACTGAAATTGTGCAATACGATTTGCAGAAGTGTGTTCTCTGAAGAGGGAACTTATTTAGACTTAAAAAACAACGAAACTTGTCTTTGAACCAGGGTCAAGACCATTAGAACAACACTGCTATAACATCTCAATCTTACAAAATTATAACTTAATTAAATTTGTCATCATACCTTTCCACTTGCATAAGCAAGAAGACAAAGCCAGAAAAATATGCAATGCATCGCATCAAATTAGCCATAGTGGGGTAAAAAAAACCCAAAAAAAACAAAGACATTAACTTGCAAGTAATCTAAAAGCTACAACAGTCATATTGCCAAAACTGACTGCGCTTGTTCTCTATCAATGTTAAGATGTGTTCAGTGAAGGCGTGGGTGACTTTCTCCAGGCGGGCATATCCCCGTGCCAAAATCTCTGGACAGGCGGGTGTAGCCTGCAGCACTGTCAGCTTCCCTTTAGGCTGGATTACACCTAAGAGGCTTATATTGTTTCACCATCACATGGGTCAGACTGGGGGATGCTAAGGGGATTTGAAATAGTCCTCTCTCCTAGCATGAACTGCTAGTTTAAGTCTTGGGGCTGACTACATTTTGGGATTTTTCTATGATGCTTCATGACCATAAGGCACTGAGTGACAATCCACTGGAAGAGCAACAGAGCTGGTCTTAGATCAGCAGCCATACTTCCACCTAGCCTTTCCAAGAAAGAACAGATGGACCAAGCAGGCTTTAGCCAATCACTTGAGATATTTATAGTCCTTCTGCCTTCTGGGTGAGCTATGCCAAGAAAAAGAGGCACAGGACACACATCTGCTTAAGCTCAGCACTGAACAGGCCTTTTATTATGGTTAATTAATGTAACTGGCTACCTGTGTATTTTTTTTAATCCTTATTTGATGCTTTATAGCAGCCAAGGATCCTCAAATAACTATACTTACTTTTACAATCCATTTAAAATAATTATGTGCTATACAGAGTAGAATTTGATCCAAATCCAAGATTAAACCAAAAGCAATGCTCAAAGTGAGACTTCCTCTACAGCCTACACTCTATTGTGAAGTCACACTCACTCACTCTTCACACCAACCCTTGGCATCATCAGATGCTGATTCAGCTCAAAGCACCGACAGGAGGTCAAAGCTGTGTATGAACACACAACCTGCTGTATCCTAAACAAAAAAAGTCAATTAAGTGAGCTAGTGGCAGCACTGTCTCTTGGACAGAACAGTGCTGTCTGTGTATCTTTGACTTGTGATCTTCCAGAGCACAAACTCACAGATAAGATTTCCTTTATTACAAACATTTGAACTTCAGTGTAACTCAGTATAAGGCCAGTACGGAGCCTATTAAACTATTTAATTTGAAGTACAAGTTACTTGAATCAAGTAGCTGATAAGCTAGCAAGTGGAGCTGGGCATGCTGGTTCTGAAACTGTACAATCTTGTAAAATATGCAGAAATCACTGAGGATTTTGGGGGTCTTACTAAGACTCGGACAATAATGTTAATTTTAATCGATTAAACAAATGCTTGTCTATTTAATTCTCTTATTTAATTATTTACATTTAAGTCTATTTAATTACTGGAGAGCAGATGTCACACACAGGTGAAAAAGCACCAGCAAATAATCCAACAGCTTAAAAACTATGCTCCTCAGTGATTGTATGGCTTTTAAGTATTTCACCCTCTACAGTGCACAATATCATGAAAAGATTCAAAGTATCTGGAGAAATATCAGTATGTAAAGGACAAAGCTGAAAACCACAACTGAATGTACCTGACCATCGTTCCCTAAGATGACAGTGCATTAAAAAGTGGCATGCTTCTATGATGACATCACCACATGGGCTTTATGGAAACAATGGACGTCATGTTCTTCGGGCCAAAGAAAAATCTAGACTTTTACTAATGTAAAGTTCAAAAGTCAGGATCTGTTATGTTATGGGGGTGTATTAGTGCTCATTAACACATTAACCAATAACAATGAAAAGTATATACACATATTGGAGCAAAATATGCTGCCTTCTTGACATCTTTTTCAGGGATGTCCATACTTATTTCAATCAACAAAAGCGCATGAAGAGATCTCTCTAGCACATCATGAATATGCACCTGTACAGTCTAAGCGTGTCGAGGGCCAGGTCATGAGAGAGCGAACTAGAAATCCACTCATCACTTTACATGCTAGCTGATCCACATCCAAGTTTAACGTCCGACTTCTACACCTCGAATAAATCTAACAGAAGAATTTTCAGAGCATTTATGTAGCAATTGAGCATTTAGGGGGATACACTATGAATAATCTACCAACTTGATTCCAGTTATTATGATTTCTACAACAACTGTGAATGGCAGCATTGTCTTGTAATGGTAGGTAAAATCTGAGCAACATCATTATGCCATAATCTCAAAGATTTAGTGTTGGAAATCAGAGCTAAATGGAACATTTCAACAGTCTGAAAGGTTAGCTCATTACAACGCAGTAACTGCGGTAGATTGTGCTTTCAAAATGCTTTTCTAAAGGACTATTCTGTACAATCTGTACTGACGCACTGATGATGGAGCGCTATTGGGGTAGGAGTCAATGTGTAATTTCCTTCTCCAAGACTCAACAATTTAGCACAGTGGCTGATGCCTCAGGTTTATTCTTGTATTCAGTGGGATCTGCTCTTAAAACACACTCATGTATCCAGACATCATCAATATCCATGACAACTGTTATGGGCATGACATTGTTACTATGGCAACTGTGTCTTTTTGTCTGGCCCCAGAGCAGCTGCCGTACATGATAAGAAGGGATGATTTATTTCCTCTGAATGTGATTTGTGTAGTAAATAACCAGCCTGTTCACTTTTCAACTGTTGAGCTGGATCAAATGCTGCTGAAAGCTTTTGATCCTGCTCAAACCACTGTGCAGACACTCGACGAAACTGAAGTCTGATCAGGAATCCTTACAAACTGCCAGCGTTTTCTTTGGTAAAGAAATGACTGAGCTTTCAGAAAGCAACGATAATGCAGCTGCAAGGCTGCACCCACAGCAACCATGCAGACATGCAATACATATTTTATCAGTACATATATATAAACAATACAGTGTTCTCTCCCTCAGCAGATTCAGAACTAGTCTTGAGGTGGACTGTGCCGTTGTTTCAGAAATTCCTGATGGGTGCTTTTACTTATAAGGTACAACTGAATGAATCTATCCATGCTCCGCCCACAAATGTGTTTCTACTTAGCAACAGTTGCTAGGTTGGACAAGCTTGACAGAACACTGGAAAAAATCTGTCTCAAAGACTTTAACTTGAAGTTTAGATTTACTACATAACATTGAG